ATCAGTTGCCCTATAAGGATTTGCTAATACCTGATTTTATGCCCTATAAGGATTTGTTAATACCCGATTCTATGACAACGATAAATATAGGTTAAGACTAGAGAGGAGTTCATGGTGGTGGGTTATTCAATGAAATGGTTTACCTACAGAAAAATAACTGAATAAGATGGATACACAAAGTATTTTAAACAGTTAAATCAGTTTTAAATCTTACTGTACACAGCTGATGAGCATTTGACTGCTGAATAGTATGCGTTGCTGTTGAATTACAAAATGGAGGAGGAACAAGTGAAATATTGCACTGTGAAATGGGCTCAAAATACACAGGACTTGACAATTAGGGTTTCAGAGCCCAGTTTACCCTTAGGGCAATGTTTAAGAATCTTCCATCTTTGCTATCCTGTAGCCAAGTAATTCTTCTTCTGCTTTTCTTCCCTTGCCTCTTGGGAGTTGTATAAACTTGCTGAACGCTCGTTATTTCCTTTTTGTTAGGAAAAAAAACATCCCTGTGTCACAGAACAGGATTATAAAAAATCAAGACAAGTGGCATTATACAGTTGAGAATATTTCTGCTGGAAAACAACCTCACTGATTGTACAGGAAATTGTTTCTAGATCTAAGATGAACTGTTAAGAGATGGCAAGGAGCTTTAAGTGCACATAAGAATGCTATATGGATTTACATGCAAATAACACACTTTATCTAATTCCATGAAAAGTCTGCTGGCAATGGTTTAAGTCAATTGTTTAGTTACTGAACAATTCATTTGCTTGCCATTTTCTGACAAAATAAATGTAAAGCTAAAAACACAGTTTACAATAGTATATTTTATTCTGGAAAAACAGCACCACCTTATTTTTATATGAAAGTATGAAGCCCATACTGTTACAGGAAACCAGCATTACAAAATCAAGCATTACTTTGATGTTTTAAGCAATAGTTCAGTTAAAGCACAATTTATTGATCATGAAGGAAGCCAGAGGTTACAGAAATAAGACAAAATTTTGCAACTGATAGGTAACATTGGTTTGAAAAGAAAATAGAGGAATGTTTATCTTTTGTGGGTGACTGGATATTGTGCAATGGAAACCTCATGAGAAACTTGCCCTTATCATTAACAAAAATACCATGTTGACGGAGTAATTTTACATAATTACTTACTTAGCTGCATCAGTTACTAACTGCTAACATCACCAACATTTTCCATGTAAATAGTATTACAGGATTTATAAAGATTCCAGAAAACTAGTCACACAGCACAACATTTTAACTATTCTTTCAATTTTGACAACACATTTCAACTTACACATTGAAGAAATATATATTTGAATCTTGGCTTTTGTTATAACAACTATACACAAGACAGCACTCTATATATTTTCCATGTCATAAATGCATCTTATATACAGAAGAATCTAGAAGACATAAACAGTTAAAACAAACTTAGGGTCCACTGGAACGAGGGATTGTCACCACACTCCAGAAAATGTTGTATTTCCTGGATTAATTCTTGACACAAATTGTCTGCATTGTATTATCAATGTATTTCAGAAAGTACATTTTCCCATACATGTATTTCCTCATCTATGCAAACAACAATTAAAAAGGTGGTAGTCTTTAAATGGCTTCCCCAATATTATCTACTTATTTGAAAGCCACTCAGTGGTTTTTCTAGTACAGTGGTTCTCAACCTGTGGGCCCCCAGGTGTTTTGGCCTTCAACTCCCAAAAATCCCAGTTAATCTACTGTTAGGATTTCTGGGAGTTAAAAGCCAAAACATCTGGGGACACACAGGTTGCGACCTACTGTTCTAGGGGAATGTCATACAGTGTTCTCTTACGTCTACTGGGTTGGTAGCACCATGAAAGAAACCTGGGTTTGCTAGTTGTGCCTTGATATTAATCTCAGGAGGCTATGTTTGCCTCACATTCAGACTTCAAGGTACAAAAGGACACATGATAATCTGATGTGCTTTGGCCTACAGATCCACCTGGCAATCTGAACAGTCACTATTATTATGCCAAGCAACAATAAAACGTGAACTGCTTTAAATAATTTGCCACTGTGGATCGTAGCCGAGACCATACATTCACATGATTAAAAACATTCAAATCTCTTGTCTCTAGCATTAGAAGCTTTGCTCTCAGAACACACTGAGCACCATTTTCTTTCAATACAGAACAGCAAAGTGTGTAATTAAATATTTGAACAATTAACTCAAAGTTGCTGTGCAAAATCAGCTCGACAGCATCCAGCAAAACACAGGGTTCCATTAATACTCTGCTGCAGTTTTCTTCACATCTAGAAGATCCTTTACACTAGGAAACAGATTCTTGGAATTAGCTGGCTTGCTCTGTTCATTCATAAGACAATATATATTTCTGAGAATATTTATCAGCCAGGATCACCAAAGTAACCTCCCTTAACTTAGTGCTGCCAAATTAGCTGAAACAAGGGAAAACATTATATGGAATTTATCTTGTATTGTCGATGGCTTTCATGGCCGGAATCACTGGGTTGTTGTAGGTTTTTCGCCTGCATCTATGGCAGGCATCCTCACAACCTCTGATGATGCCTGCCATAGATGCAGGCAAAACGTCAGGAGAGAATGCTTCTAGAACATGGCCATACAGCCTGGAAAATCTACAACAACCCAGGAATTTATCTAATACACAGTTTCAATCTTTCTAATATGCAGTTTCTTTCTTTGTAGCAGAGATAACAGGTGCACCACAGGAACAGAACTGAATGTGGCCTAGAAAGTACAGCTTTTTCCTGACATGGATACTGTGCCTGTTTTCTTGAAAAATTCTATGGTAGTAAGACATTATGCATGACCAACATATCTTAACTGGACACAACAGTAAGCCATATGCTCCAAATGGGATTCAGGGCAACAAAGTTTAGTAAAAAAAACATGACAGGAGCATTAGCCATGAGTTACTGTTTCTATATAACATTTTATTGCCTATAGCAGTAAAAGCGGAATGCTACGTCTTGGGGTCAGAAGCTGACAATTCGAGTTTCTAAGAAATATACAGCATAGTCTTTTGAAAGTACCCCTCTGCCATGTTATCACTTTTTTATCATTTCTATTTTATGAAAAATAGAGATGATAAATCTCTTCATGCAATGAAATTCAAGCTACTATGAGCTGAATATTACTCAAATTGTCTGTTGCACAGCAAGGTGTCACTGCCAGAGCCTCCAATCTCTAAGGTATCATTACTGTTGCTATTTGTCATCCACTTCTACTACTGCTATATATGTAACATTAATCAGCTTGAAAACACAGCTTATTTTCCTTCAGTGACTGGAGCTCAAATGGCATTCCATGAATAAAATGGCAGGAGAGCAGCTGGAAATTAAGTGGTGCTCTTGTTGACATGCTGTTGAAGTTATGACATTGTTTTAGTAATCTGAAAGAAGCAATTTGCACAATGCAGAGAAGCCTTATATACATACTGAACCTGAACTGAACATAAAATGTAAATACAGTAATACACTTTCAATGTGTAAAATGAAAAAGAAAGCACCAAATAGTGAAAATGGGAGTCGGCTTTGATTTGTCATGAAACTTGGGAGTAACAGCGAACAAGTATACTCATGTCTCAACATTAGGCTGACAATGACTTAATCTTTGGCAGTGTGAAAGTAAGAGAGTCAGTCATAGGCCACATCATCAAAGGAACATCCTTCCTAGAAATTAAATCCAGAATTAGATGTTTCCACTTCCTCTGAGGCAGTCAATTTTCCAATTCTACTTGATATTAATTGCCCCAATTAGTAACACTAGAGACATGCCACTACTTTACTGTGGCTTTTGGCAACTGTACCTGCATGGGGACAGACTACCATGCTATTACACACCAGTGACATGCTTTAAAAATTATTATTATTATTATTATTATTATTATTATTATTATTATCGTGTCAGAAGCTACTTGAGAAACGGCAAGTCGCTTCTGTAGTGAGAGAATTGGCCATCTGCAGGGATGTTGCCCAGGGGATGCCCAGATGTGTTACCATCCTGTGGGAGGATTTTCTCATGTCCCTGCATGGGAAGCTGGGGCTGACAGGTGGGAGCTCACCCTGTCTTGCAGATTTGAACAGCTGACCTTCAGGTCAGCAGTTCAGCTGGCACAAGTTTAACCCATTGTGCCACCACGTCTCATGTGGTTCAGCAGTAACATGCTGAATAAGTTTTAGTCTATATGCACCAGGATGAAATGGTAGAATGCACTACATCATTTCAACATTCAAAGTGGGGGAATTCCATTTTGGAGAGGTCACCTATGTTTTAAACGGCTGTAGAATTCTCTTCTTAAAGTGGCCAGAAAGGCTATTTTCTGGTAAGTCTTTTAATTGCAATAGACCTTTGGAAACTGGTTGCTGGGAGGTGGGGAAAGAGGCTACAAAGTCCACTCTTATCATTGCTAGATGCTTACAAGTTATCTCCAATGTATGGCAATCTCATCCTTGGTTGTTGCCTTCCTGCAGCATCTGGACTCTTCTTCAACTATTAACTAACCTTCTAAAGCTTTCTAAATCAGACAGGATCAGGTGTCTTCAAAGTATTTAGGCTTGCTTTTTTTAAATGAAGATGCTACTGGATTGCTTTTCATTCTATTGGTAGGATAATTCTATTTTACATTTTGTACAGTTTTCTATGTATTCATTTTTATAAGCTGCCCTGGGGAAAAGGTAGAATATAAATGAATAAAAACCCACCAAAAACAAGTCTAGACAAGACAACAATCCCGATTAGTTAACCATGGACCAAGCTAGAATTGCCCTGCTACATCTGTATAATACTCTTCACCTGAGGTACAATCTGTTGCACTATCAGCTGCCCCCCTACCACTCAAATGATAGCCTTAGAGGGATATCATTCAACCTGGTATCAAACTCTTTAAAGTATACACCAGATTTAAGGGCCAAACTAAATATTGCATGGCAGATGGTTGTGTGTAACAGGTACCTACAATCTGTTTTTCCACTTGTATGCCAAAACTATTTTTTACACAACATAAGCTTCTTCAGCTGCTCTTCATTAAACACACACATTAAGAGATCTGTTGTGATGGTGTCTCTATACATTGGCCTCCTTCGCTAACATTTCTTACAAACAGACTTTTGGGGAAGTGAGAGGTTTTTTCTTCTTCTTCTTTTAAATGCACTTTGAGATTTTCATTTACACAGCTGTTGCCTTCACCATAGCAGTACTGATGGCACCAAAGCACTTTGGCATTTCAGCACTGTTAATTCCAGAGGAAAGAGAATACTTGTAATGCTGGTGGGCTGAGCTTCAGTTGAAAAGTGAAAAAAGTACTCTGCTGAACTACTTGGCAGCACGTTGGGGTTACTATTTTGCATTTCCATTTCATAGTTCAAGGATTGCATTGTATAGCTCTTGCTATAGTCTTTATTTGAACTTATCAACTGTCTGACAACTTCAGATAGGCTGCAGCCTTCCATGGCCTAGCAAATGATGCCAGCAAACACCACAAATTCATGACTGGATACATTCAGGAATTTAGACTTCCCTGCAGATACGACAAAAACAGTTCATGTCAGTGTATTCTTTTTGTCTGTAAATATGTACCACCTATTAGAACAGGGTTTCCCTTCTGTAAAATGCTTCTAATAATAGGAATATTTTAATCTTTACTGAAATGAACTTCAAAAGACCTTCATGTAAGCCATTTTCAAAAATGGATTATATGACATACACAATGACAAAAATGCTTGCTGTATTGGCACCTTAGTCTCTTAAGAAGTTAAAAACAGAAGCCTGTGCATTTGTGATTATGGCTGCATTTCTTCTTTTCCTGCCTCTCAGCTTGCAGGAAATTTGATGTAGCCTTTATTCCTCTGTTTCTGTTGCTCTATTTAGACTCGGTGCTTGCATCATCTTCTGAAGGTATGGAAGGGATGCTGTCTCTCGAAACAGTGTCAATGCTTTGGGCTTCTGACTGAAGGTGGACAGATACCTCCACGGCTATTTCTTTCCCATGGTCATTCACAGAGCCATCATCCGAATCCCCTGCGGGTGAATTGCTCCGCTTCATTTCTGGATTCAAGGAGTAGAGTCTTTCTTGGGCACCAAGGGCCTGGGTCTGTTTGACTCCCTCTCCCACTTCGTCAGGGTCATCAATGTGCACTGCTTCAAAGATTTCTTCCATAAAGGCCCTACAGTTAAGGATCAGTGGTGGAAGAGGGATGCTTCTGGCAAGCTCTTCAATGTAACGAGCAAATTCCATTGTCTTGAACTGAGTGACTTTGGCCAGCTCTAGCGTTTTGGCAGAGGTGATGATAGGAATCCGTTTGGCAATTTCAAAGGCTTTCTGCAATTTCTCAGCCCCTTCTGTTCTGAAGAACTCATTGATGGCCTTCTCTGTCTTGCGGAGGTGACTGCTCATCATACACAGACGTGTTATATTTAAGATCATGATGATAGTGAAGGCAACCAAGCAGACAATCATGTAGTAAATGCCCATGTCTCCAGAGGTGGAGACCACTCTGAGGGTGATGGAGTAATAAGAAGTGCCATTTCCATTAGTGGTAACACATGTGTATCGCCCCCGGTCACCAAAGGTTACTCTAGTGATATTAAGGGCACTTTCAGAGGTCAACCATCTTCCACCTAAAGATACAAAAATACAAAATACATTCAGTGTCACAGCTGTAATTTATATTGATAGCTATGCTAGAACTCGTGAATACAAGACACATAACATTTCTGTGGTAGCTTCATCTTTATGTGACTCCCTCCCAAAGGATCTGCATTTGGTCCCTTCTGGAAAGTGTGTGTTTAAAATGTCTTTGAAGATCTTTTCATTTTAATTTAATTCTTGATGCTGACCAGGAAGTTTAAAGTTGTTATTGCTGTGTTTTCTTTGCTAATGTGGACTAAAATGTTTTTATCTTCCATTGACTTATATATGTTTATTATGAGCCATTTTGCAGACTATTCTCCTGGGAAGTGGGATATAAATTCTTTAACAAATATATGCAATATAATAATAATAATAATAATAATAATAATAATAAGTATACATTTGTTAAAGAGTTTACTGTATATACTCAACTATAAGCCTAGTTTTTCAGCACATTTTATGCTGAAAAGGCCCCCCTCGGCTTATACTTGAGAGGGTCTTGGCAGGAAGGCAAGGGGCTGAAAGAAGCCCTTGGCAGGGCTTCTACTAGCTGCGTGCCTCCTCCGCTTTTGGCACAGCAACACAGCTGCATCTCTGTGCCAAGAGAGGAGAAGAAGGTGTGTGGCCTCTCCTCTCTGCACAGCAACTCAGCTGGGTGGCTGTGGAGAGAAGAAAGGAGAAGCTGTATGCCTCAATTAATGCAATTTTATTCGTATCTATTTTTATTTTGAAATTTTCCAGTAGCTGCTGCATTACAGACTTGTTACCTTCACTGACAGCTGTTAGGCCACACTGCACAATGCAGGTTTGCAAAAAGGTCATCATAAATATATATGAGTAGAGACCTTTGGTGAATCAAAAATATCCTTTCATGTATGGAATAGACTGAAATTAAGTATGTGATATTGGTTTGAGGACGCAAAGGAGGAAATCTTCCTTTCAGTTTCCTTTCCAACATTGCCCTTCCCCTGACTCTTCAGAAGGATGTGCAAGAGAAATCAGTCAAAACTGCCTCTCTTCTTTCAGCAAAGAACACTATGAACTGAATTCTGCATACAAGTAATCCATACTCAATTCATAGTAATTAATGACATTAAAAAGCAAATCACTGCAACTAGAAAAGGTATATTATGAATATGGCTTTCTGTCTAACACCTCCTGTGCTTGTATCCTGATTAAAAATTAGCACATTGAAGGAGCTAGTAGTATAAGCTTTCTTCCAATATCTCCAAATGAAAGGAAGCAAGCAACACACACCTGTGTATCTACAGAAGTTATTACCATACAAATAGACAAAGGCAAACATTTTCACCAATTTTGGTGCATGTACTTTTTTGATATACTGGAACACAAGTAAATTATGTGAAGACTTTACCCCAAAATTACTATGTATAGTAGAGTTTTGAGCTTTTAATTTCTCTCTCTCTCCCCCCCCCCCCCGTGTATCCTTTTAAAAATCTTGATAAATTTATGTTTTATATATACATCTCAAAAATAGAGAAATGTGTATATAAAAACATGAAAATAGTACAACTCGCATATCCATGGGGGATAAGTTCCTGGAATTAATGTGGAGACACAAAACCGGGGATATCAGTGAACCCTATTGAAATGAATTACTTCTGATAGAGGCATACCATAGAATCACACTGGAGTACCTAGAGAACTTTTTTTAGATGGTTAAGTGTAACCTGCGGATATGGGGTCATACTGTAGTGCTTTGCCTTCAAAAATGCTAGTGTGTAAGAAATCAATACACATAATACTGTTTTCGGTGGATAGCCAGAAGAGATTTAAGTCTATATTCTTTAAAAGATACAGCCGATGATGGCAGAAACCTAGATTTCAGTTGGGAACTATTTTTCTTTTCTTTTTCTGCTTGCTCCTGCTTGCCCCTTGAGTTTTGTCTATGTGAAAGAAATTTAGATCTGAAAGAGTAAAAATAACTAGAACAGGTTCTTTTCTGACCTCAGGGTTCCACATGTTATTCTCTGGAGAATGAACACTGTGGCTGTAGTGCTTCCCATCTAACAAACCTGAATGAGCAGTGAAGCAATGTAATGTTTGAGTTTCCCAAGCAATTTAAAAGAGGTCTATTCTTGACAACAGCAAAATAGAGCAAGCATGTTCCTGTATGGCTACCTCTTTCAGTTTTTAGTGGCTAGGAAAGACATTTACAAAAGTTCTGCAATGCGCTTTTTAATCCAGAAAAGATGCAAATTTCAGTTAAAAGATGACAGAGAAGCCACTCTTTTGCATTTTTTGTTTACCTAATGCTAATTAAACTTTCCACCACTGTATTTACATTAGACAGAGGTTGATCACAAAAACATAATTGGAAACCTAGAAAGAACACTTTTCTAGGCATCATTAGGTTTTCCAGCCCAATTCCAAGGTATACAAAGCTCTTTGCATTTTATGTGAAACTGCCTACAATGGGCTCACATAATAAGTAGAAATACTGAACTGAGATGATCATGACACCCAGAATTAATTCAGTCTTGGTGTGCTGAGCAGAACAATGTCCCTTGAGAAGAATCATGCAATTATCACATGGGTTGAAATAGCAATGAATGAGAACTGGTTAGAGCAAGTGTATACAAGAACACTTAAATTCTCTTTCTGTAAATCAGTTGGTTCCCAACCTTTTTTTGACCAGAGACCACTCTCCAGCATTAGTACCAAAAGGATTATAAATCAGTTTTTGGACAACTTTCGATTCTGTTTGGTTATTTGGGGTGCTGATTCTGAAAAATTCATTGGATAGACCACATCAGCTCTAGTTTCTGATACAGAATATATGCCATCCAGTAGTTGCTATCTGTTTGTCCACAGAAAACCATATTTAATAATCTAGAGCTGATGTGGTAGTAGGAATCTTTCATGGGTAGTCAGCCTAGCCCCTCCCAACATCCCCGTTGCCTTGGCACTATAAGAGGGCTTCATGAGACCAGTTGTTCTCGCCACATGGTTTTGAGGCAACAGTGCAGTAATAGTGAGGCCGTGGACCATGTTTTTGTTCTTACAGACCACAGTTTGGGAACCACTGCTATCAATCATGGTTTGTCAACAGGAGGCCGTTCAGGTCATGCATGCTCTCTCCTTTTTCCTTCATTCTCCCCAAGGCATTTCTCTTTCTCTCTTTTTAAAAAAAGGACAGATTGCTCTGCCCACTTGTTTTCACAATCATTCAGATACGAATCTGGATATACACTTCTGGTTTCATTTTTGGGGAGTGGTGCGGCCTATGGCTAGAAACAGGTTTGGAAACCGGATCCCTAAGAACCCAGAACTTACAAAACCCTCTTCTGTTGTAAATAATAATCTATTTGCCCTAAGCTTCTTGGTCTATCTAAAGATGGGAAAAGAATTGCCTATGTGCCATATGTGGAGCTTGTTTCCAAAAGGAAACAAATCCATATGAACACATTTTACAGGAATCAGAAAAAAGAGTTGAGGTTATGCATCCTATTGCTGTTATCTAAAAGGAAGGAACCAGGAAGTTGACCTGTTGGAGAAAAGGGCCTCCAGAGTCCCAACAATGTAAAAGAACTGCCTTGGATCTCTCTCTCTCTAGGAAGTAAGGGGAGTGTTTTTTCTTCTTCCAAAAATGGTTATGTGTGGGCATTCAAGGTCCTCTAGCCCACAACAGTTAACCAACCTTACTCTAACTCTGACATGGGCAAACTTCAACCCTCCAAGTGTTTTGGACTTTGACTCCCACAATTCCTAACAGCTGGCCAGGATTTCTGGGAGTTGAAGCCCAAAACACCTGGAAAGCTGAAGTTTGCCCATGTTTGCTCTAACCAACAGAATACACAAATGTTCACAATGTTCTTGTTGAAGACATAATCCAGTTTTTCACAATATTCTTTCTGAAAACAAAATTCAACATAGTAACATATGGGTTTACATTTCAGTTTACTGTGGATATCTTTAAGCAATGAGGCAACATATTCAGGGGAGGTTTTTTTGCTTGTCCATTCTAAAGAATGTGATTACTATGCAAAGTATCAGCTCTACTGTACTAATCAAATGGGTATCACTTACCTTCTCCATTGGGTTCAAGCAGATGCCATTTTGAATTATACCAAAGGATGGCATCATGCTGGCTAATGTTCAGCTTACATTCAAGGAAAGCACAGTTACCCTCTTTCACTATGATATCCTGAGGTTCAACTGATCTTGTCAAGGCTTGTAGAATGGGCAGCCATGATGTGTTGAGAGGCAGGGACCTTGAGCTAGATGAAAGTGTCAGGTTGGGGGCCACATTTTCTAGTGCAAAAACACTAGAATTGAGGAAAAAAGTCAACAAGCAGCAACTGAGCTTCATGGAAGCATATAATACGGTGCTCCTTTCATTGAATTTTATAGCTGAAAAAAGTTGTCTGAACAGTCTGTATTTTGTTGGTCACCATGAAAAGATCTTGACAGATGATTTTTTAAAACAAATAAATGGACAGTCCAACTGAAATAAAAAGATAAATATGATTAATGCAAATTTTGTATCATGTTTAAACTCACATATTTATGAAATATCAGCTATCTAGATTTCAAATGAACTAGGGAAAATCTTCACAAATTAACGAGTCTATGCATTAGCAATGAGGTGCTATGATCTCATGTTTGTTCCCTGCTCCCATTAAATAGCAACAAGAAGGTCCCTAAACTGGTCTCTTCTGTGAATGGGATCAAGATCCAAAGGAAGGTCCTACTAGATTTTTTTTCTTTTCCAATCCTCATTTTTTCATACTATTACAAAAGGCACGGGGATTTTGTAGCAACTTCAAAACTAACTAGGAAAATATGTTTGTGGCATAAGCTTTCTGAGACTGGTTCTATTTCATCAGAATATCTAAGGCATTAGACTGGGTGGAATACAAGAGCACCACTAAAGGGGGAAATGGTTGGGATTTACTGGTTCCAGTTGATGTAGGTTCAAAAAAAGTGAATAGTAGGTAGCTGAAATCTGACAAAATTGCTTGTATGTAAACAAGTGACAATGCTATACATTATAAGTCTATTTCTATGTGCAACACAATGCCGTCCTGGAGCATAAGGATATGACTTTATATTTTTTAAAATGTTGTATTTCCCCAAGACATTTTTCCTTTTTGAGAACTCCAGTCGTGTCTGACTCTGGGGGTTGGTGCTCATCTCCATTTTTAAGCTGAAAAGCCAGTGTTGTCCGTAGACACCTCCAAGGTCATGTGGCCAGCATGACTGCATGGAGCACCATTACCTTCCCGCCGGAGTGGGACCTATTGATCTACTCACATTTGCATGTTTTCTAACTTCTAGGGTGGCAGAAGTCTTTGTAGTTGCTGGGATTATAGTTCTAGGTGAACTATAAATCCCAGCAATTACAACTCCCAAATGACAAAATCAATACCCCCCTCCCCCAACACCACTAATATTCAAATTTGGGTGTATTGGGTATTTGTGCCAAATTTGGTCCAGTGAGTGAAAATATCAGATATTTACATTACAATTCACAAAAGTAACAAAATTGCAGTTGTAAAATAGCAACGAAAAAAAATTATGGTTGGGGGTCACCACAGCATGAGGAACCGTATTAAGGAATCGTGGCTTTAAAAAGGTTGAGAAACACTGGAGAAGATAATAATTCACATAATGGCACATGCTCCCTAGTACAGAGCATGTGCCATTATGTGACCGCTGTCAGTGACAGAGAGGGGCTTCTGGTAGACCACTGTCATCAAATCTTTGGTCTTTACTCATCCCTCCTAGGCAGAGATATTTCACTGCTGAGTTTTGGGAGTGAGTGAAAATGTCACATCTCTCTCTCTCTCTCTCTCTCTCTCCCTCTCCCTCTATCTATCTATCTATCTATCTATCTATCTATCTATCTATCTATGTTCTGTTCATTTTGAGTGACATCATAACTCAAAAACCACTGGATGAATTGCCGCCAAATTTGGGCACAAGACACCTACTAACCCAAGTAGTGACCATCACTAAAAAAAAATTGATTTTGTAATTTGGGAGTTGTAGTTGCTGGGATTTATAGTTTACCTACAACCAAAGAGCATTCTGAACTCCACCAATGATGGAATTGAACCAAACTTGGCACACAGAACTCCCATGACCAACAGAAAACACTAGAACGCTTCGGTGGGCATTGATCTTGAGTTTTGGAGTTGTAGTTCACTTACATCCAGAGAGCACTGTAGACTCAAACAATGAAGGATCTAGACCAGGGGTCCTCAAACTAAGGCCCGGGGGCCGGATGTGCCCCTCCAAGGTCATTTACCCGGCCCTCGCTCAGGGTCAACCTAAGTCTGAAACTACTTGAAAGCACACAACAATAACAACAATCCTATCTCATCAGCCAAAAGCAGGCCCACACTTCCCACTGAAATACTAATAAGTTTATATTTGTTGAAATTGTTCTTCATTTTAATTATTGTATTGTTTTTAAGTGTTTTTTTGCACTACAAATAAGATATGTGCAGTGTGCATAGGAATTTATTCATTTTTTTTCAAATTATAATCTGGCCCTCCAACAGTTTGAGGGACTGTGACCTGGCCCTTTGATTAAAAAGTTTGAGGACCCCTGATCTAGACCAAACTTGTCACGAATACTCAATATGCCCAAATATAAACACAGATAGTGTTTGGGGGAAACAGACCTTGACATTTGGAAGTTGTAGTTACCGGGATGTATAGTTCACCTACAATCAAAGAGCATTCTGAACCCCACTAGAAACAAACTTCCCACACAGAAACCTCATGACCAACAGAAAATACTGTGGTTTCTGGTGGTCTTTGGCAACTCCCCCTCAGGGGTCCTGACCCCTAGGTTGAGAAATGCTGCCTTAAGGCCATCCAGTCCAACGCCCTCCTGATAAAGAGCCATCCAGCCATAGATATAAATAAATATATTTGATTCACACACACACACACATGTATATGACAGATATAGTATCATAGATTTGGAAGGGACCCCTAAAGGAGGACAATTATATGTTGCATGTTCCAGAGTAGGCAAACCAGACAATCTCTGCATCAACACTGACAAAGAAACAAGAAATACTGTTTACCCACAAGCAGAAAGAAATTACACATATTAGAAACCAACACTTTCTCATTACTTTATTTTCCAGATCACCAGACTGGGCCACAGCAACGCATGGCAGTGGATGGCTAGTTATCTATATAAATAAAAATGTAATGTTCGTTTGTGATACCATCAGAACTCAAAAACCACTGGGGGAATTGACACCAAATTTGGACACAAGACACCTAACAACCCAATGTATGTCCTCCACTCAAAAAAATTGATTTTGTCATTTGGGAATTGTCGTTGCTGGGATTTATAGTTTACCTACAATCAAAGAGCATTCTGAACTCCACCAATGGTGGAATTGGGCCAAACTTAGCACACAGGGCTCCCATGACCAACAGAAAAAACTGGAAGGGTTTGGTGGACATTGACCTTGAGTTTGGGAATTGTAGTTCACCCACATCCAGAGAGCACTGTGGACTCAAACAATGATGGATCTGGACCAAACTTGGCACGAATATTCCATATGCCCAAATATGAACACAGATGGAGTTTAAGGGAAATAGACCTTGACATTTGGGAGTTGTAGTTGCTGGGATTTATAGTTCACCTACAATCAAAGAGCATTCTGAAACCCACAAACGACAGAAATGGGGCAAACTTCCCACACAGACCCCCATGACCAACAGAAAATACTTAAGGCCATCCAGTCCAACTCTCTTCACCAGGGCAAGAAAATGTAATCAGAGCCCTCCTGACAAAGAGCCATCCAGTCATAAATATAGATAGATATGATTCTCTCTCTCACACACAGATATAGTATCATAGATTTGAAAGAGACCCTTAAAGAAGGACTATGATATGTTGCATATTCCAGAGTAGGCAAACCAGACACTCTCCACATCAACACTGACAAAGAAACAGCAAGAAATACTGTTTACTCACAAGCATAAAGGAATTACATATATTAGAAACCAACACTTTCTCATTACTTTATTTTCCAGATCACCAGACTGGGCCACAGCAACGCGTGGCAGGGGACAGCTAGTATTATATAAACATATCTGAGGGGGAAAGGAAGGGGCCTGAGGCTGTTAGGAATTGTGGGAGCTGAAGCCCAAAACACCTGCAGAGCCCAAGCTGGCCCAGGCCTGATATATACACATAGACAAGTATACATACTGTGGCAAACTGTGGTCTTTCCTTTGCGGAAGGAAGGGCACCGGCCGCGGGCAACAACACTTGCTGCTTCCCTCCGCGCGTCCAACCCCGACGGTGTCTCTCCTGCGCAGGCGCAACAGCTCCCGAACGGGGATTGGGGAGAGAGAATGCCACTTCCGCCGTGGAGCGTCGATCTTCCGGGGCAGGCCCGCTCTTTCCGTCCTTCTCTATGGTCTGGCTGACTCGGCAGCGATGTTGATGTCTGGAGGGACGTGGCGGTGACAGAGAGGGGCTTCTTCGGGCGGAAAGGTGGAGGCGCCTCGACAGAGCCAGACAGAGCCTTAAGGTGCCACCGCCGCCGCCCCTGCTTCCATTAGATGTGCGTTTTCTTCCTGTTTCTTGTGGGCATTTGCTGTTATCAACCCCTTATAAACAGTGGCTCCCACTGAGGCCCTGCAAACTCCCTTGAATCAATGTACTGTCGAAGGCTTTCATGGCTGGAATCTCTGGATTGTGTAAGTTTTTCGGGCTGTGTGGCCATGTTCCAGAAGCATTCTCTCCTGACGTTTCGCCTGCATCTATGGCAGCCCTCCTCAGAGGTTGTGAGGTCCTCACAACCTCAGAGGATGCCTGCCATAGATGCAGGCGAAGCATCAGGAGAGAATGCTTTTGGAACATGGCCATACAGCCCGAAAAACTCACAACAATTCACTTGAATCAACCCATTTTAAATATAACTCTTACTGTTACTCCTAGTATGCATATGTTTGCTTCACTGCTCTCTTTCTTTCCCTTTCTGTATGTAACTTCAAATGACCTGTCGACACGAATTTCGTAGTATTCTCCGAGAATGATATTGGGTTCATTTCATCACACTAGAGAAAAAATCCACAAAATCCGGTTTCTGCCTACTGCCGAATTCTGGGGTTCGTAGTTTAATGAGGCTGTTAAAGGCTCTTCCCTAAACTACAAACACCACAATTCTGCAGGAGGCAGAAACTGGATTTTAAGTGATTTTTTTCTCTAATGTGATGAGACAAGTATGGTGAGACAATTATGGTAGTGGTGGATTTGCGAGTTTCTTCCTCTGAAGCACAGGTTACAGGGCCCGGTATTTACTGCTGGCCTCACATCCAAGTCGTAACCAAGGCTGCCCCTGCTTAGCTTCCAAGATCAGATGGGATCTGGTGCCTTTAGGGCACTGGCAAGGCCTACCATGTTGTTTTATGTGGCTCTCCAGATGCTTCACTGCAACACCTGTATTCCCCATCACTAGGCATCATTACTAGAGCTGATGAGAGTTGGGATACAGCAACATCTAGAAGGCTGCAGGTTCTGTTTAATCAGGAGAGTGGGGTTTGTGTTGAGATACAATGCTTGTGGGGATCCCCCAGAGGCACAGCAGGTTAAACCACTGAGCTGATGAACTTGCTGACCAAAAGGTTGGTGGTTCGAATCTGGGGAGTGGGGTGAGCTCCCACTGTTGGCCCCAGCTTCTGCCAACCTAGCAGTTTGAAAACATGCAAATGTGAGTAGATCAATAGGTACCACTTTGGCAGGAAGGAAACGGTGCTCCATGCAGTCACACTGGCCATATGACCTTGTAGGTGTCTATGGACAATGCCTGCTCTTCGGCCTAGAAATGGAGATGAGCACCACCCCCTAGAGTCGAACGTGGCTAGACTTAATGTCAGAGAGAACCTTTACTTTTTTTTACAAGGCTTGTGGATATGTAACTGAGATTACAACAGTACTTGTAACCTCAGAGCTACAAGTACTGTTGGGCTGTACTTCCATCATCCCCAGTCCACATGGCAAATAAGCAAAAGGGATGTTACTGCAATTGTCATCCAGTAATATCTGGGGACCCTAACTGGCTAAAAACTAAAGATCACTAACCACTATGTAAAGAAATATACCATAGTTGGCCCTCCATAGCCACCGATTATCTGTGTGTGGATTCAATAGCTCTTTGAAGGCAACTGATATGGCCCTCGATTAAAATGTGTTTGGCACCCTTGGTTTAGGGTATTTAGGCACTGCTTTAGTTGATACTGTTTGCTTAGAAATTATTGGAGTCAGGTGGAAGAGTTCCCAAAGTATTTGCTCCCTTTCTCTAAAATGGCCTTGGGTTAAGTTTTCTCCCTTAGGATAGAAAGGTACTGTATTTGGGTTTCCCTCCAGCACCCTTCCTAGCCACCCGACAGGCTGGCCCACCTCCGCAGCCTCCTGCACATGGAATATTTATGCCTGTGGGACTCACTCCCTTCCTGCCCACACTTTTGCAAGGCCTCTTACGTTGTTGTTCTTGTTGTTGTTGCTGTTGCTTCTGCTATGTTAAGACTCAAAGCGGTTTAACATAAAAGCATCAGCATACCATTTAAAATGTACAGATATGCAAACATTAAAAGTGGATTAAATATAAACAGTATTTTAAAATTCCCAGTTTAAAACCATTTAAAACCATTAAACATATCCAGAGATAAAAACCATAGCAGCCACTAACTTGACCTTCATCTTTAAAAGCCTACCTGAATAAAAAGGTGTTGGCTTTCCCCTTTTACACCTCACAAAAGCGATGATGTTTGTTATTGAAGGAAAAAGCAGTGTGTTGGTCATTGTCATAATCCAACTTGGACAGATATTTGCAGTTTAACTGAATTCTAGCCCTCTGAACGAGTCCTTCCCCATCACAGTTAATATATCTCTGTGTCCTAAAAATAATATCAGGAACTTGAAAATAGTGATAGAAAGACTTGCATGCACAGGTTGATTATGTGAGAAAGCAGTTTTCTCAGGTATTTGTTTTTGTTTTTTTTTTTGTAAAAAAAAAATCCCTACATTAGGAGTCATTTTGTTCTTTCAGTGACATTCAAAAATTGGTGTTTTGATTAGTTGCCAGAACAATGACCTTTTGCATCTTGCTTGCAGTGACTAATACAATTAACCCTTATTATATTGCCTTTCAGTGCGCAGTCTTCCTCTTTGCTTCTGATACTGATGAGGTAGTACTAATGATTCCATAATTAATTCCCTGTGACTAATCATGGATGCCATGGGTTGCATCAGGTCATCTTCATGTGATCCTGATTGAGGGATGTCATGCCTCACCCACTGGCTGGAAGGGAAAGGATCAAAGCTGCACAGGGCCTCAACTCTTCTGTAGCCATAGATTCACAGCAAATGCATTTATTAGTTATATATTTGAAATTACTTATATACTCATGTGTAAGTCTAGAAAATTTAGATAAAATATCAAGCCAAAACCACAGGTAAATGTGACTACTGTATCTTATCTCTTATTGAAAAAGGAATTTTCCATTTTCTGTTCTGATTCAAGTCTTTTTGGAAAAAAATACACTGCTGTGACATAAGGCACAAAGCACTTTTGAGATTAAACAAAATGAAGATTTTATGCTGTGCTATACTTTATAGAAGTTATAACAAGAATTCTTTGTACATTTAGGATATGCTCTGGTCATGTCCCAAAAGGATGATGAATCTTTGAAAGAAGATGCTTATGAACCTGTTGAAAATGACCAGAGGACAGAGGAAGCTGAGGCTACTGAGCCTGATGGAGTGGAAACTGAGCCAGTGGCTATGACACGGAAAAGACCTGAAGCCAAAACCTCTGAGCATGTTGCTTCACAAGAGTCCCTGGGCCACAAAGAAAAGGTATTGGTGACAAATCTGTCACTAAATGTTATTTTTATGTTACAGTGTTCACATGTTTAAAAATATTATACCTTCATTACTAAGACTTGAGAGCAAAGAAAATTGAATGGAATTTGGTGATGTGTTACATACTGTTGTGAAAGTATAAGAAGCAGACACCTGTGTTTTTTGAGTGTTTAGTACCTACATCTATAGAGTGCCCCAAGTATGCTTCTGGTCTTTAGAGAAATAAGAATCCCGAGCTCCCCAGAGCAGATTTTGGCCATGCAAGCAAAGGGAAGGACATCTCTTTCTTTTGGCTTCCCATTTCTGCCCATGAAAGTCTGGCAGTGGAAGTGACCTTTGATCTGAATGTTTCCAATAGCAATCGGATGACATTTTGTGATATCTGGACTTAAGTATGATTTTAATTTTTCTTCTATTTCCTTTGGACCCTCTGTTTCATAGATGTAATTTATTGACATTTGACTTCCCCTTTTAAACCTTTTTTAATGACCAAGTACCTGAACAGTGATTTGTTTAACATTCAATTTTAGTAAAAAAACAAACAAACAACCCCCCCCCCCCCAAACCACTGACTTTTATTGAAATAGTTAACATTGTTACTTTGAATGATGATTTGATATTGGTCACAATTTGTATAGCAAATGCCCCAAGGTCCACTGCTTTATGTTAGAAATCTCCAGTCCAAATGAATTGATATAAACATGTTTGGAACATGACGTTCTTAATGAAATTGACATTTAAGAAAGGAAGAGAAAAGTTGCACCCAAGCAGATTAGTTAAAATAGATTTACAGTGTAACCCATTGTAACTATACATTTGAGAACTACCGCTATTGTATTATTTTTCAAAACTCTTATGTAAAATTGTATTTATTTGCTGTCTTAGAAGTATAATATTTTATGTTTTCTTGTATCTCGGTATGAAATAAGTTGTTATTTCAGTGAACAAGGCCCAGAGCAGACATCCCAGACATTTCCCTGGTTGTCATCACATTTTCCTCTCTTTTAGCTAAATTATGGGAAAGGCAGGGGAAAATCCTTCCCTCCGACACTGCTTCTCATGAATCTTTTTCATTCTTTCTGGGCTTGGTGCAGATAGAAGCCAATGAGATTGCTTTGTCCTAACCTTCACAGCCTATTTCCAAAGCACCTGAAAGCATGTGGAATGCATGTTTTTTACAGAGGCTTTGTGTACATGGAGTCCTTCCCTCTGATCTCTTGCCCTGATGAGACTCCATGAGAAAAAAAGATCAGAGCACTGGGTGTGTTACTAGCTCCCTTTCACTAAAGGTGCTAGTGAGCAGCTGGCAATAAAAGTTTTGGTTATGGAGTATTTTAGATTGCGGATTTCAGAAAAAGAGATTCTACCCGTATATTAAATATGTATTATAAAGCAAGTCTAAGATTAGAAATATGATATTAACATTTTGGTTTGACTCTTCTGGTTTGGACTGAGTTTTGATAAACAAAGGTGTTAAAATTTGATAACTATAAGCAAAAGATTGATCATATCCTATTTTTTCCCCTCTTACAGGAATCCAGTTTATCTGATGGGTCACAAACAGGATGGAACTATTGGGGGAGTTGGGGGAAATCATTGCTCTCAACAGCTTCAGTTACAGTGGCTACCGTAGGTAAGGTTTTCTAAAGCTCCAGTCTACATTTATCGTAAAGATCTGCTCCAGATTTCAGTCACTTTTTCATCTTTATCATTTTCTTTTTCACTTACTTTTAGATAAATCAGACATGTTGAGGAAAGGAGCTACATATCTATCTATCTATCTATCTATCTATCTATCTATCTATCAATTTTAATTTAATACCTAAACCAGGCATTACACTGTAGATTTATGCGCTCTTTTTCAAATGCACACTGGTGATTTGAGCAGATCTGTCTTACTGATTTGGTTTGCACTTGCTGTGTTTTTAAAATTTTAAATCTTCTTATGATTAAAGTAATATTTTTTCTTGCCTTTAGGTTATGGCATCTCAAATGTCATTGAAAAGGCAGAAACATCTCTTGGGATTCCAAACTCTACTGAATTACATTCTGAGGCCAAAGATGCTACAGAAGGTGAGGTTTTTTTTAGTGAAAAATAAAATCTGTTTAAAGTTTTCTGCCTTTATTGTTGTAAATGGTAAGTCAGTACTATTGCTATTTATTTGAGGGGATTGGTTGTACATTGTCAGAAAATAGTGTCATCCTTTTACTTGCAGGATGTGATTTTTTTTTTACCAAGGTGGCAGCTTCCTCCTTTTTGAATCTGAGAATTGTACGCACAGCACGTCCAGGGGAATTGAAATTTTTCACATAGTTAAGCAAAAGGAGGCTAATGTAGTCTTACAGAACTACATGTCCTTTTCAGGGGTGACTGGTGGATGAAAGCTGTAGAGAGTGGCAATGCACCCCTTTTGTAGTTCACCATCCCTTTTCCTGGAGGTAAACAGGAGAACTCTAGTTTGACACCAGTGAGGCTCCTGAGCAGCTCAGAGCTGTGGTAAAATCAATAATAGTTAAAGGATCAGCACCTGCCCCAGAGTTTTTCTGCATTATGTTGGGGAATCCCTCTGCAACTGGTCTGTCTCTTGTATGCCAAAATGGCTGTTAATGCTAACTCAATCCACGTGAGCCTGTGCACCTCTGTCAATTTATTGTATGTGCTTCCAACAATGTATGTTGTCTGAAGTCTAGAGAATTGCACTACTAGTTTCATGTATCAATCCATCAATCAATCAATGTAGCCAAAGGATCTTTAGTCAAGTTTGAAATAGGAAATCTGGGGGGAGGGGGAGTGAACAACCTTGCAACATTATAGGTTTCTTGTTTTAATTTATAATGCAGATAATTTAGTTGGAGGATTGTTGATTATAATGCAGTTTCTTGTGGTTTTCTCCCTTTCAGAAAGCCAGCATTTTGAAGAAGGTAACACTCACAAAGGAGAGGCTGAAAGTCTGTTGCCTATAAGTGGTGCACTTGGAATGCTTTCTACCCTTTCTGCTGCAGTTCAGAACACCGTGAGTGTGACCATGGACTTGTATGACTACTGAATTGTCTTGTTTTGAGGACTAAATGGTCTACTCTTTTATTTTAAAGCTGGTCAGTGGTGGTTCATTAAACAGTCAAGTAAATAAGTAATCTAGTCCTGTGTGCAATGTATGATGATTAATGGCATCTAGAGTGAAGTGGGGACAATTGTTGGATGTTAGGGGACTAAACTGGAGGACTACACCCCAAAACTCTCTCCTGAAAAAAAAAAGATTTTTTTTCTTCCCCCAATTTCTCCTCTATACGGCCCAGGGAGAGCAAAAATATAGAGAAAAAAACTCATTTGCACTAAGGGGACAGTCGAGGTTATTTTCAAAATTGAAGTCCTCCATAGATGTAAAAACAGCGACTTTCCTTATCTTGTTCTGCCATCTTCCACAATTCTGCGCCCCTACCTTCCCAGTTGTTCTCTAAAAGGAAGCAATGAGTAGTTAACTTTTTATGATTTTTTGGTGTGAACGTCTTCAAAAACTGCCATTTTCAAGGGCTATTTTCAGTTCATGGCTAACTCTGCACAATATTTACATGTGGCTTTTTTTCTGTGCAATGTAACATCATTTTCTTCACAGTAAGCAATATTTTTTGCACATCGATACTATTTTCTGCTTAGAACATTAGCTGTTTCCTGTGCAGAAAATTCTGTTTTCCATGAAAAACGATGTGCATTAAAATGAAAATTCTCATCAATCCATGATTCTTCTCATCATGATTTCTAACAGAAATAACTGTTTAGACCACTTTCTGGATATATTTGAATATTCATTTCATCCCTAAGTAGTGGGCATATGACATGTAACCTTTTTTGACTGTTCACTGAGTAGCATGAGATATTCTGGCCTTGAAATCTAAGATATGGAATAGCCTTTTTAGAAAATTTCATGCTGTATTCTAGGCCTTGGGCACCAACCTGTATGAATTCTTCAGTCTAGATTTATTGTTTAATTTGTGTGGTGTGAAGGAATGCCCCTCTTTACTTTATTTCTACTGATTATTAGTGATGTATTCATATTGTTATTTTTAATTCAATAATAGTAGTAGTAGTACTAGAGTAATAATAATTTTATTGATTCCCTTAAGCCATGTCACAACACCAAACCAAACAACGAGGCTTGATTAGACTTTATTGCAATCTATGTAGTAAGTTAAAATAAGACACTAATAACAATACAGTAAATAAATATGATAAAACGGAGTATATACATCATATTTCCTTATCACTCTACATAGTACTAGAGTAGAGTTGGGCCTCATCAGACTAGAGAAAAAAATCAACTTAAAATCTGGTTTCTGCCTCCTGCAGAATTCTGGGATTTTTAGTTCAGGGAGGAGCCTTTAACAACCTTGCTAAACTACAAACCCCAGAATTCTGCAGGACACAGAAAGTGGATTTTAAGTGGATTTTTTCTTTAGTGTGATGAAGTGGTAGTCCACTTTTCAGGATGGACTACCATCTTGAAGTTTTTCATTAAGGATGAAAAACTTAATGACTCAAATTGCAACTTACACAAAATCAAACCCCTTTAATAATACTGAGTACACAAAGCATTAAACTAAAATAGAAATAGCATAATCACAATACAATCACAATATCACAGTACAATAAATCATATTTGAGCTGGGATAAATAATACTTGTTGTAACTATCAGCCACATATTTCCTACAATAACTTGCAACCATCAAATAAGTTATATTTGCTTCTAGCAAGCTTTCCTCCAGCTCAGATTTATTTCTATCTGTCTGTCTGTCTGTCTGTCTGTCTATCTAAGCTAGAGTACTGTATGGTTGAATCTGGTATGGTTTATTTTTTCTCTCTCTCAATTAAAAAAAACATTTTTGTTTATCTCATATCTATCTAAAAACCATTTAGATTGACTTGGATCTTACAGTGTTTGTGAAGGCAAAATAAGAAAAAAAAATCTAATTGTTAACAGAAGATTTTTTAATTTTTAAAGCATATGATTACATTATTGGTCTTGCTATTAGGAGAAAAACTATGCTCTTTTAAAATAATATTTACGAATATCTTACTTCCTCAGCATAATGAGAAGAGTATGTGCTACAGCTTGAATGCTTAGAAGCCAGAGCTTATCACAGGCAGTCATATTTCTGTAGTATGCTTATGCCCTCTTCAAGGCAAGGTCTGAATTTCACTGTTTTTTCTAAATTGAGCAAATGTATTCTGCAGGGAAAAACAGTTATTAGCGGAAGTCTGGATGCATTAGAATTTATTGGGAAGAAGACTATGGATGTGATTGCTGAAGGTGACCCTGGGTTCAAGAAAACGAAAGGCCTCATGAATAGAAATTCTACACTTTCTCAGGTACTGGCTTTCTTAAGGATGCTATACAATTGAGAATGGTTCATTCCTGGATTGGCTCAGTGTAGTCCATAGCGTACTATGCTTTCTAGTAGGGCACAAAATATTTTAGGTATGAACCTTTTCCTTTGAACATTCTGTCTTTTCATTCTTCAGTTCTAAAGCTTGTTTTTTGTCCATTTGTAGATCTTGCGAGAGGCAAAAGAGAGAGAAGAACAACAACAGATATCCACGGAGGTTTCCATGGCTACAGAGAAGAAAGCCCACTATGGGCTATTCTTTGATGAGTTTCAGGGTCTTTCTCATTTGGAAGCCTTAGAGATGCTTTCAAGAGAGAGTGAATCAAAGGTAATGGCCTTTAGCAATTCCCCTTCCTTTTGCCTTAAAAAAACATTGAGGGGTAATAAGAGTAGATATCGCTATAAACTCTGAGGGATGAGTCCTTTAGTAGATTCTTCACAAGCACTAGTAAATGAAAACTACATAGACACAGGAAAAATGGCCTCCTGCCGTTCCCTGCTGTTTCTTTCTCTTTTGTGTAGTCTACTCTGTTTTAAATAAAGTGCTTTCTCAATCTTTGTTGTTCAAACTCACAATGAAATTGATGGTGGTTAAAATAAATCATCAGAATTCTGAAATATGACAATTGTGATGTTCTTATTCCCTGATGGAGAGAAAATGCATGCAACCGCTCCTTTTTAAAAAGGAAGAAGATTGCTTTTACTAGGCAGCCTGTCATTAATGCTGCCATCTTTGCTTTTCACATCAAATACATGTAAGTGGCTTTACAATTCTCTCTGTGGCTTTCTTCTCTTCAATCAGGTGAAGTCAGTTATGAGCTCACTCTCTGGAGAGAAGTTAAATACTTTAAAGGTGGAGGTGGAACAGCTGAAAGAAGCATTTTCCTTAGCTGAATTTTGTGATGATGAAGAGGAAGAAAAGAGAGGTAATTATGAGAATTCTGGCTTTCAGGGTAAAAAGCAGACTTTTAAAATAACTGAATGGCAATCTAATTCTGTGGTTTGTACTGCAGTTAGCTGCACAGGTAGGATGGAAAAGTGCTAGTAAGGACACCCCAGTGAGGCACATTGACAATTCGCCCATTATTCCATCTCTGATAGTGGTTCATTCTCTGGAATCTGCATGAAGTATAAGACAGCATTCAGCACGAATTTAGTACTCTATGGAATACCAACTTTTTCAGGTTAAAAGATTCTGTGGCCATCAGTATTTTGCATAATGGTTACTAGAAGTCATATATTCAATTATTAGTTATATATGTGACCTGCCCTTTCTCCAAGAGAATGAGAGCAGAAAACAGGTGGCTCTCCTTATCCACAATTTCTGTGTCTGCAGATTCAACCACCCTTGACTTAAAAATATTCAAACAAAATTCAAAAAAAATAATCTTGATTTTTGTTATTTTATGTAAGGAACACTTACTATGCTATTTTATATAATGAGACTTGAACATTCTTGGATTTTTCTATCCACAGGTTATCCTAGGGTCTACTGTCCTTATATATATTTTCTTTACATGAACCATACCGAATATGTTAGATTCAGGAAGAGTAATTCACTCTGGCTCTGGGTGGCCTGGTGAGCTCCAAGTGGAAATTGAAGCCTAGATCTTCCTGACCCAGATCTAATAATTTAATGTCTGTATTTTGTGTTGGATCCTATAGCTTGTGTCTGGTTTTGTTTTTTGAGCTACTGCATCTCTAGAAGTGACTACACATGAGTCTGTGCACCTTAGTTTAAGTGAATGGAGTTGTGGTGTGATAATGTGAGGTGTCCCATTGACTTGTGTAGGAGAGGATCATAAAAGGAGGATTCTTACACATTCCGCCCTGAGTCCCTCAGGGGAGATAGGGCGGAATACAAATAAAGTCTTATGCTATTATTATCACATGGGAAAAGTCAGTTATGGTCAATATGAAATTAGAAAATGAGATGTGTAAGGAATATGTGACTCCTTGGGTATTGTTTATTCTCCAACTCCCATCAGTCCCAGGTATCCCCATGTAGCTACTAATTCATGGGCATGGGTGTAGGTTGCTGTTGTTGTTTATATGAAAAGCTATTTCTGAGACCAAGAAAAACTGCCCAAGAAATTTGAAGTTGCTGCCATAAGAAAAGGAAAATTTTAAAAATCCTCTGGGCAGGCCTTCAACATTTTTATAGCAACCTTTTGTGGTCTGTACACTTTCTGGTGTGTGAATCCAGATTTTATTGTACGAATGTCATACAGGAACCAGACCAAAGTTATGGATGTATTCAAACCTTCATAGAATAGTAGGCAGGGTATGAAATGATGTATTCTTTTGGAGCCCCTTCCTTCATATGCTTCTCTGTAATAATAATAAAGGCATGTAAACAGCAGTGTCTCTGGAATGAGAATGCTCTCTAAGCATGAGAGGAGAAGCACATAAAATCTACTGAAATACTGTGCATCTTTTAAAGTGTTCATTTTCTTTATTGCTCATGAATAATTCATTCAATTTAATAGTCTATTAATAGACAGTTTACTATGATTATTCCTCAAATGGCATAGTTTGAGCAGAGAGATGCTAATGGTGGCTGATTTTGTCTCTTGGTCATACTAGACCTTCCAGAGTGTTTGCATCAGAACAGGGAGGTCTACTCTTTCACAAACTGCAGTCAACTAACATTTAATTATTAGATATAGTATTCAGAGTCTGTCTTCTGTTGCTTTCAGATGAGGAAGACTTCACAAAAGAAATAACAGATTTGTTTTTTGAACTACACATCTCTACAAAGCCAACCAAACTGACCCAAGTAAGTTTCTGTCATTTCTTGACTGTTGGGGTTAGGGTCTTTGAAAAGAAGACGGCCATTGGACAAGCTAGCTAGGAGTTGGAGTCCCAAACACCTGGAGGGTCACAAGTTGTGCAGGCCTGACCTAGGCCACGTCCTTTCAAAGAACAATAAGAGATATTTGTAAAGTTGTAAGATTGGCTCTTTGAACTTTCCAACTCTTAACAATCTTATATCCTCCAGTAATCAGCAGCCCTATTAGATAACAGTGCCATTATGCTGTTACAGTGGGCAATAGTCGGTAAGTTCTGTATTTCATTTCTTGGCATATGGGTTGATCACTTCATAGGTTCTATGTACCAAAACCCAAAAGAGTATGCCATCTCTAGTAGATAGACTGGGTGCATTCATGAAGCCAGTGGTTCCCAGCCAGTGGTATGTGAACCACAGATAACCTGTAAGAAACAGAAAAGTAGTCTTTGGGACTCTTTTACAGGCAACCTGAGGTGATTCAGCATGGTTTTTCAGGAAGGGGCCCTGCAAGCATAATATTTATTTATTTATTTACTATATTTGTATACCGTCCTTCTCAGCCCTTGGGCGACATAGGGCGGTTTACAATGGCAATGATTCGATGCCCCAAAACACCATAAAACATTTTAAAACATTAATACATAATATAAAACCATAATAAGAATTCTAAAAGCATACATCATTTGCGTCTCCTAATAAAAACATTGTCCCATCTCGTTGTCCAATCGTTCTAATTCCTATGTCTTGTACCTTGCATTTTCAAACGCTTGCTCAAACAACCAAGTCTTGACTCTCTCCCACACCTACATACAAATGGGCCTGGAAATAGGGATCTGGCAGCAGCAGCTTCAAACCCAAGGAAGGAAGGCAGGCAGGAAGGGAGGATCCAATGCCCCCCTTCCCACCCCCTCCCTTTGCCCAGCATTGGACCCTTCCTTCCTTGCCTGTTCTTGAGGCAGCTGCTGCCAGAGCACCATTTGCAGTCTCCTCTTTGCAACCTCCTGGGCTTGCAAGGAAGGAAGGATCCAACATAGGCAAAGGAAGGGGGCAAGAATGGCAGTGTTGGATCCTTCGTTCCTTGCCTGGGCTTGAAGCTGCTGCCACCATTTTCAGCCCCATTTTCAGGCCCAGGTGGCGGAGAGCTGGGTTGCAAAGAGGAGATTGCACATGGGGCTCTGGGAGCAGCTTGCTCAAGAGCAAGGAAGGAAGGAAGAATCCAGCATAAGGGAAAGGGGTTTTTTCCTTCATTCCTTACCTGCTCTTGAGACAAGGAAGGAAGCCCCATTCACAGGTTGGCTTGCAAGGAGGAGGGGGCAACTGAAAGTCAGTAAAGGCAGGGGCTGAGGGAAGCTCCATCACGTTTCTCTTGGGGAGGGGAGGGAAGAAAGCACGCGGGTGCGCTCTCCTTTTGGCTTGTCCAGCCGAAGAAGAGCTCTTGGGCCCCATTCTCCCAGAGTGGCTCTTGAAGCCTGAGTAATAACAGGAGCATGGGCTCCTGTTAGTACTATGGTTTCAAGAGCTACTCTGGGAGTCTACTACTATCAAGAAACAGTCTCCTCCTTACCCCATGGGCTACTCTGGCATTGAGCAATAGTATCAATCTCAGAATTCCCCACCTAGTGAAAGAAATGCAAGTTCAAAAATCACATCATTTTTTTCAGTGTCTCATTATGGTGTTTTGTCTTTATATCACAAAATAAACAAAGTATATGTAAATATTATGATTAATACATGCTAGTTATTTATAAACTGATTTTATTTCTTTGTGTGCGGGTGGTGGGAGAGGAGTTGATTGATCTCGATAGTCCACGCTGTATCCAGTTTTGCCTCAATGGTCCGTGGTCTCTTAAAGGTTGGGAACCACCGCATCAAGCAGAGCTGGTTTTTTCTGTTTGAACTTAGTATGTCAGTAGGGCTGGGCGGTTTCGTTTCGTTAATTCGTAATTCGTTAATAATTCGTTAATTTTTTCAATTACAAAACGATAACGAACCATTCTGGAGCAATTATTAAAAAAAACAAATTTTCAAAAACGTTTTGTAAATGCTTCGTATTTTGATATTGTATTCGTTTCGTTATTGTTTTGAGGTCGTTTCGTTATTATTTCCGCATGTCTGGGCCAGTTTTATGGTTTAATTAGTGAAAAAAAATTATAATATCACACCAACAGTCCACAACAGAGGGAGAGGGAAGCTTCAGAAGGTTTTGGAGGGTTTTTAGCGTATTTCGCGGTCGCGTCCGCCATTAACGAATCGATTCGTATTGTTTCGGAAATCGATTCGTTAATTTTTTACCATTTACGAAATTTCGTAAATATCGAACTTTTTAAAAGGAAAATTTTGTAATTATTTTAAATATCGAAACAAAAAAAACCCCAAATACAAATCGATTTTAGAAACAATTTTTTCCGTTGTTACCCAGGCCTATATGTCAGCCCTATTTCCATGTTTTCTTGCAATGTTTGGTAGAGCCACTGAGTGGCACTGTATCCTGAAAGGGGATGAAAATGCCGCTTACTTAAGAAGCCAGCTCTTATCTTGTTGTTCAGTTCAAAACAGAAATGCTTTTAAAGGTGTTTTTATTCCACTAAATGTTTTCACACATCCTGTTCTAAGGATTTCTGTGTATACACACAGAATAAATATAAGTTTCAGGTAAACGCTCTTCAGGTAACATACATTAAAATATAAATTAAGATCTATAACACATAGTTGATTTCAAATAGCACCACAGTAAGAACAGCCTTGTGCTGAACCTCCAAACTCATCAGCTTTCCTCTGACCAATCAAAAGATGGTGTTCTTTAGCCTGCAATTTTCTATTTACAGTGTTTTCTTATGTCTTCACTTGCTCTCATAAGAAAGACAATCAGACTTTCATGAATACCAAGATATTTGGGGGAGGGGATCCTGAATGTGAGGAAGATGCATATCTTACCCAATAGGAACAGGCCATTCACTGATGAAGGGAAGGGTGGAGGGAGAGAACAGTCAGTGAGGTGAGGGGAGTAGAAATGGATTGTCCAGAACCCTGAACAGGAAGCACTGTATTAGCAATGAGGCAACATTTAATTGACAGTTTTACTTGTTTAAGGTACTTCACATGTTTTATTCCCCCACTAGCATCACCAAGAAAAGAGTCTGTAACTGAGCAATGCATTATAAAGCAGGTAGGGAGATGGTTAGTACTCAAGAGTCCATTCCTTCAAATTTCTTCTTCAAATGGCCAGTTTGAGAACACAGAAAGGATCAACTGGCTATTTGAGAAAATATAATTCTGTGAAGGAATGTAAGCTGTCTTTTCCTTACAATCAGGTATTGTTCCCTGGCTGTTTGTTTCTTTGGGTGTGGATTCCAACTTTGCTTTAAATCCAAATTCAGCAGGCCTCCAACTCTTCTGGTGTGCAGTGGAAGTGGGACCATTCTGCTTTCCTTTTCATTGATATACTGATGTTTCTGCTTCTCCTTATATAGGCAAGGAACTCTACTTGTGAATTGGTTAAAAGCCTCAGAGTCCAGACTGTAAAAGCAGACAAACCGGATGAAGAAGACGAGCAGGAGGACTCAGGAGATGCTGGACAAGGGCATAAAAAATCAGTTGAGGTAATCAATGTAACTGAAGGAATGTTGGAAGTGCAGTCTAATCTGGGCACTCTTACATAATCTTCAACAAGAAATCACGACACGTTTTATCCTTGCAGGGATAATCTTTAAAGGAAGCCTTTCAGGGATAGAATTAGATAAAAAAACAAATGCAGTTTTCTTGAACCTGTACACTCACATTTTTTTTCAAAATCTACAGGATATTCATACCCTTGCAATTAGAAGCTTGGCAGAATTGACAGCCTATTCCATTGAAGTATTCCACAAAGCTGCTGAATTGTTTCTTCATGGTCAGAAAGAAGAGGTGCTAGCCGTAGATCGAGCCAAAGCCCTTTCACAGTAAGGCTGATGACTCTTGACTGCTCTCCCAAACATGAATTGGATTGTAAATTGTATCCTGTGTACTAGTTGCGATATAGCCCTACAATTTCTTTTAACAATTCTGGAATAAACAAGAGAAACACTTTTAGGCCAAATCATATATGATATTCTGTCATTGATAAGTCATTTTTTCTCTTTATCCCCTCAGGTAAGTCTAGTCAAGATTGCTCAGTCTGGACAGAAGATTGAGATGGGTTGAAGGCACTGCTAATAGGCAGTCTCTAGCCCATTGTATGTGAGTCAATGGGGAACTCGGCAAGAAAGAGATGACTTATCCCAGCCATCAAAGCCGCCTCTAGAAAATTCAAGTAGCTTTTTAGGGGGGATGTATTTTTGTTGATGCTGCAGTCAGGGCTTCTTACTTCTCTCACTCCCCAAAATGGTGAATATCGGGAGACTGATCCTCTGGAGTAGGCACAGGTGTGATCCCAGGCAGAGTATATACAGATGATTCAAACTGTTCCTGTTTTCTTTGTAATAAAGGTAGTTTGTTTCCTGTCCACTTTAGGCTTCTGGCATAAGGCTCAAAACCAAACTATTTTAGATCACTGTTGGATGGGTCATGGTAGTGAATTCATATTGTTATCAGGTTATTAGTTATCTTACATGTTGTGAATGGGTGACAGAGACCACTTTGTCCATACGCTATTTCAGAGTGAAAATCATGCAGCCATCCTAATGTTAATTTACAATTGCAGTCTCCACAATAGTCAGTGATAAGTAATGGTGAAAGCTCCAGTCTAACCACATCTGGAGATCCTTCCCATTCTCTCTACTGCAGTTACATCTAAATTCATCTAATTAAAATAGTCCCCTTGCCTCTGTTTAGTCTCAGCTATGACATAATGATAAGTTGATATGAGTTTGTTGTCTGCAGAATTTGGAAATGCTACTGTCAAGAAAACTACAGCTAGCATCCTGGAGGGTTCTAGAAATTATAGTTCCAAATCCCTAATTTTCTTTTTTTTAAAGATATAATTCTTATTCAATAAAACAAAACAGACAAACAAGCCTACAAGCAACCAAATGTGTAAAACACTAAACAAAATGCAACAATCATAGGTTCATCCCCCATCCACAAAAACAAAACCATATAAATTCTTTTTTCTTGCTATAAAAGGTAACTCCCAGTAATACAACTTAGTTTACAACAATGATCCTCACTACAACAAATGCACCCCTACCACTCCTACACATAAACAAGTGCCTGCTCTATGAGCCTCACACTCTGCCTGATGGTTTTAACGTCTTTACTTTTTAACATCCATAATATATCACTAATGTCATCATCCAACTATTATGATAAAATTTCTCCCATTTTTTGGTGTAAAAAGATAGTAAATAAGTCCCAGCCTTCCTTAAAGTTAGTCAATAATATTTCCTTAATCAGCTTTGTTAGTTTGTTCATTTCAGCTACTTCATACACCTTTGTAAGCAAGTCTTCTTGTGTTGGACTCACAGGATCTTTCAATTTCTGGTCATAGATAATTTTTGCTGCCATAATCATGAATAATATTAGTCTTCCATGTTTTCTGGATACTCTTACATAATTTATTTATTTTATTTTTAAGTGGTCATCTAATGTCTCCAACAAGTAGAACTCTGGTTTCATTATAAATTTGACCTTAACAATTTCCATAATTAACAAATGGATTTGAGGCCAATATTTCTGGGCTTTTTTGCATGACCACCACATATGCCAAACCCCTAATTTTCTAGAGCATTGGTTAGCTGTGGCTTTTAGTGCTGTGTGCTGGGGATGGGGGCAACTAGTCTAGCACTCCCATGTCCAAGTGCAAGGGTCTGAATCATGCAGCTCTCCAAATGCCAACTCTCAATAACTGTAGTTGATGGCAAGTAGTGCTGGGATCCAATAATATATGGAGGCCCTTTATATTGCCCTTTTTTCTCTTAAAAGAAACTCAAAGTAACAAAGAGACTAAAAAATTGGTGTTGCTATGAGATTTCAGTTTTTTGTACTGTTATTTCAACACCCCTGCAGCACAGTTCAAAGTCTTGGTTTATGGAGTTTCAAATGACAGGTGTTTTCACCTTTTTTTCTTACAAAAAGTTGAGAAGCACTAAATAAAAACAGGAAACTCCACTCTAGTAAGTTTTATTTACGACACCTTGTTTGTTTTCTTCCAGAATGACCATTGTGCTATGTAAAGAATTATCATCTCTTTCCAAGGACTTTGCTACCTGTTTAACAGCTGCAGGGGTAAGAGCTCAAGGTTTTGAAGGTTTCCACTGTGAAAACAGAATAATGCAACTGCATGATCAATAGTGCATTATGATGATTATGATGATGACTGTAAAGAATCTCCCTTTTTCATCCACTGAATCTGCAGCTTTTTATACCTCTTGCTTCTTTACCACAAGTATTGCAGTTGCTCTAGTATACTAGTTCCCCTGGTATAGATATCCAACAGGATCTTGACTAAACCTCATTTTCTCTGTCTTGCCCTTTCTGATGTTTTGTTTCTAAAAAGAGGAAAGAATTCTTCTTTTGTAGGCTGTTATTTAATAAAATCAATGGGAAATATTGAAAAAAATGAATATTTTATGCTAGACTCAGTAGAACAGGGTATACAGCCTTCTTAGCCCCAAGGATGGCAACCTGAATCAGAATGCCACCTGCATATATCTTGGGAAGTCTGACTTGGCCACGGTGGTACACGCTCTGGTCACATCCCGCCTTGACTACTGCAACGCTCTACGTGGGGCTGCCCCTGAAGACGGCCCGGAAGCTTCAGCTAGTCCAGCGCGCGGCAGCCATGTTACTAACTGGAGCGGGACGCAGGGAGCACACAACGCCCTTGTTGTCCCAGCTCCACTGGCTGCCGATTTGCTACCGGGCCCAATTCAAGGTGCTGGTGTTATCCTACAAAGCCCTAAACGGTTCCGGCCCAAAATACCTTTCGGACCGCATCTCGGCCGATGAGCCCACGAGGGCCTTGAGATCGTCTGGGGAGACCCTTCTCTCGGTCCCACCTGCCTCACAGGCACGTCTGGCGGGGACGAGGGAAAGGGCCTTCTCGGTGGTGGCCCCCCGGCTGTGGAACACCCTCCCTGTTGACATCAGACAGGCGCCTTCCCTTATGGCCTTCCGTAAGAGCCTAAAGACCTGGCTCTTTGAGAAGGCATTTAACTGAGTGCTATTAGCTGGTAATGAGCTGGTAATGACAATTGGAACGGATATGGACTATGAGATTGGCTACGATTCTATGTTGTGACGATGCGGATTAGTTAGTGTAATGTAGATTAGATTAGTGTGTAATTTGTTATGTTGATTTTTGCTGTACTTTTGTAAACTGTTTTTATATGTTGTGCACCGCCGCGAGTCGCCCTAGGGCTGAGAGCGGCGGTCTACAAATGAATCAAATAAATAAATAAATAAATATATGCATTATTGTTCTTATTTTTACTGGTAGGAAAACTGCAATTGTGGAGTCAGAAATCCTTGGTTTTACATTTGGCTTTATCCCTGTCACCCACCTAGAAAATCAAGGGATTTCAAAATCCAGAGTTTAGTACCTTTCCACTGCAGCCCGGCTATTCAGGTTTAGCAGTACAGAAAGCAGAAGCAGGCCCTGTCAGCTTTGAGGGCAAACTGGGGAGTGACTAAGTGCTGCTTGTTGGCTGTAAGGATATCCAGTCCTGTGCTAGAAGTACTTCCTTGACTTTTTTACATCCCTTCCTCTCTCTCTTCCTTCCAAGAATAAATCAGATTATCTTCTTTCTTTCTTTCACTATCCTTTCCATGCTCATGCTGCCCCTGTCTTATACAGTAATTTGACATTTCGTGTACTACTGCTGTTTTATTGTTTTTGAAAATCTCGGCTGAGATTTTGAGTCCAGAGTAGGTGCAGTACATTTTTGCCATAGGTTGCTTCTTCAGAGTTCTGTGTTCAAATGCTATAAAATGGATTCTAAACTGATCGAAACCAGTGGAACTATTATTGAATCACTTTTAAGACCGGAGGTCACCTTCCATTCAGGATGGTATTATGCTCAGTTTTTAAGTGCAAACTAAAAATATATTTGATCTTTTTATAGATGGAAGAGAAGGCAGATGTCCTTAACCCTTTAATCACTGGAGTATTTTTGGAGGTCAGTTTCAATAAATGTTTTATTTATTTATTTATTTATTTATTTATTTATTTATTTTTGTTCTGTCCTATCTCCCCGAAGGGACTCAGGGCAGATTCCAACATGCAGTGTACAAATGTACAGATGTATATGTTCCGTAGTTGCAACTTCGACTGAGATCCCTGGATGGTGCGTGAGTGTAAAGAAGGAATGATAAATTAAGCGATTTGATTTGAGATGGTGCATGAGTGTGAAGAGGGAATGATAAATTGAGGGATTTGATCCGATCATATTACATATTTGAAAAGCTTTGTAACGTCATTCCTAAATTATTACTAGCTTGTATTCCATGTTGTGTTGATTGGATGAAATATGGAGATTGTATGATGTTGCCCTATAAAATTTAAGTCTAGGTTAAAAGTAAAAATCTGTGACTTCCTCAGTCTTTTCTAATTTCCATGGGTTGTAGAAAAAAAGCTGAAATCATGTGAACAGCTTGTTCAGAAACAGAAGCTTGGTAGTTGGGTTGACCCATATTTTAATGAATACTAGCCATCCCCTGCCACGCATTGCTGTGGCCCAGTCTGGTGATCTGGAAAGTAATGAGAAGGTGTTGATTTCTAATATATGTAATGTCTTTACGCTTGTGGGTAAACAGTATTTCTTGTTGTTTCTTTGTCAGTGTTGATATAGAGATTGTCTGGTTTGCCTACTCTGGAACATGCAACATATAATTGTCCTTCTTTAGGAGTCCCTTTCAAATCTGTGACACTGTATCTCTCTGTGTGTGAATCATATATCTATCTATATCTATGGCTGGATGGCTCTTTGTCAGGAGGGCTTTGATTACGTTTTTTGGCCACGGTGAAGGGAGTTGGACTGGATGGCCTTAAGTATTTTCTATTGTCATGGGGGTTCTGTGTGAGGAGTTTGGCCCAATTTTATTGTTGGTGGGGTTCAGAATGCTCTTTGATTGTGGGTGTACTATAAATCCCAGCAACTACAACTCCCAAATGCCAAATTCAATTTTTTTTTTTAGTGATAATCGCTCTTTGGGTTAGTAGGTGTCTTGTGGCCAAATTCGGCAGCAATTCGTCCAGTGGTTTTTGTTAATCCCACAAACAAACATTACATTTTTATTTATATAGATGGTATGTGGATCCCTGCATGCTATATGACTGCGGCCTAGACAAAAGATATTTGAAGATAGGATTAAAACCAATCTTTAAAAATGTGGTATAAACACCAAGAACCAGGAAGTCCTGGCACTTGAGCATTGTAATTGGAGGTCAGCTGTCACCAACGGTACTATGGATTTTGAAGAAGCATGAATAGAGGGTGAAAGAGAGAAACATGCCAAGAGGAAGGTGCATCAAGCAAACCCTTTCCATCTGGAAATCTATGTTCTCATTGTGAAAGACCATGAATAGCTCTCTAGTCACTTACAAAACGATCACTATGACTCTACCCTTGGAGGACAATCATTCTTAGCCATTAGTTATAGCCTATGATGATGATGATGATTCCCCATTAGTTGCTTTAGATTATCAATTTTGGCAGTAGTGATGAGATACTAACTCATACTAACTAAATGACATCTCCTAGGATGACTAGGCACTTTATATGCAGTGAGAAACTCCAGAATGATTATTTTTTGTTCTCCTTTATAGGCTTCAAACAGCGCCTCTTACATCCAAGATGCCTTCCAGCTGCTCCTTCCCGTTCTTCAGATCTCCCACATCCAAAGTCGGACAGAGTTGACAAAAATCTGACTGTACTAGAGCAGCACCCCTAGTCTTTTTGAATGATTACTCTCTGGTTCCACAAAAATAAGGAGCATGTAATAAAGAGATAACTTTGATTTCTAGTTCCCACTGACCAATAATCAAATGGCAAATGTCTATAACCTATCTTAAGAAGATAAAATACAGACAATATAGCAAGCTTAGAAGTGTGGGATGCTCATGTTCTCTCTATTACTGCTCCTGGTGTTTTGTTGAGAAAATAAGGCATTAAGCTCTTTGATGGGAAGTTTAAAAAAAAATAAAGAGCAAGAATGCATATATTTCTACACTCATGGAATCAAGGTGAATTATACAACAGGCATGATAATTGTGTAATCTGATGAACCATATGCTCTTAGAAAGGCTACCTTAAGTTAATTATCAACTAATCCATGATGATAATTACAGTAAAAAAAAGGTGTGGAGCAGTGTTCTTGTCGTGTCTATACTTCATTGACCCATAGAGCCAAGGGAAGGAAGGTTGCAGCCCTGTGCATAGTGATCTGGGAATAAACCTCATCAGCTCGAGTGTGACTTGCTTCCAAGCAGAGTTATGGTGATTAAGTCAAAAGCCTGACTGGCTTATGGCTTTTTTAGGCTTGACTGCTCATTAATGAAAGCTTACAGGTAAATTGGGAATTCTTAAATCTATTTAGAGGAATGTATTTCCAAGATTTTAAAAAAAACAACAGACACTCCTTTGTGCATAGAACAGAAGCTTGGACCTGAACTGGCTAATGCATTTTCAGTGTAGTTCTCTAGCAATAAACAAAAAGAATCTCAAGAGATGTTTGCATAATTGAGTCGGGGATTTATTAAAACAGAAAGCTGGCATAGCAAAAATACAGAATTAACATGGTGTTTTGTTTCTCTTAGTCTAATTTCAGGTGTTAAAAAATTGATCCCCAAATTTACACTTGATTCTTCATATGGTTTGCAGAAAACAGTTTCCCCCTTGTTCAGAATTGCAATTTGCATCATTGAGTTTCCCTCAGCCCTCATTTTGGTGATCCCACTTTTTTTTCAAAAGGAGTTCTAGAATCATTTTTAAAAACAAAACAACTTGTTTCAGAAAGTGTGACTACTTCCATTTGTCTCCAAGGATCAGGAAGGCCCTGACCCTTCAGATGTTGGCATCCAATCCATCAACTCAAGCTAGGCTTAGCCAATGGTAAAGGGAAATTAGTACAATAGTTCATCATCATCGGGAGTGCCTCAGATTCCCTCTATGAATTAGAGGTATAACCTAATGATGGAATGGGGTTGTGTGAATATTTGCATGGAAGGAAGAGTTGGACGGAGGTGAATTGCAAGTTACTGCCACTTTTGGGAACAGATTGAGCTTGTGATTTTTTTGATTAGGATGGGCTTGTTGCAGTGTTTTAGCTCTGGTCTGAATTTTCAGGCTCTTTGGTTTTTAAAGTCCTCCAATTGGTAAATCTGTTTACTACCAAAGTCTGGCCTAAATTCATTTGTTAGCATCACCTAGAGTAGAGCCTTGCACCACTAGGAATTTGCTAAGGAAGCAAATCCCATTGATTTAGTGAATCTACTCTAGCAATTACATTTAGCTCTCTTTTATTAAGAAAAGCAGTATTGGAACAACATGTTTGAAATTTGGCAACAAACATGCTCAGTCTTGCACAGCAGGACAAAAAAAATGCTCAGCTTTTGATGTATAGTAGATCTTTTGGAAAGATTTTTTTAAAGCAAAAGATCTATATTTTGAATAAAAATGACATTTGTGAGTAAAATCTGCACTATATTATATAATAATGATAAATGGTCTGTAATGTAATAAAAAAAGTTTTGCATTAATGACAAGGCTGCTTGTTATCTGTAGGAGAGATGCTGTCCAGGATGTGACAGTGTTTGATTGTGTCACTGTGCTCTACAATAGGCAGAGCAAGCCTATGGAAGTGACAAAGGACAGTGATTTCTAAGATCAGTTGGATTCATACTGCCTTGGATGAAAGATGTGTGCATGCTTCTCCTCTTCCATGGGGTCCTGTAAATGGGAAGGTTAATATTGCAAATCCGGAGCTGATGTAGCTCATCTGTGAAGAGACATCCTGAAAGAATGATGGGGGCTAGGGTTCCTTCTCTCAGTCCATCTCCAGCCTGCCCCTTTCTCTCTCTATTGCTACTGGAGGCTTTAGTCTCTACAGTGAGGAGACCTCCAGTGGTGAACCTCTCTGTAGAACCATAGAATTACAGACTTACCTATTTTATGTTTTCATCTTTAGAAGCCTATGTATAATAGACAGCCATCCTCACAGGCTCATTTGTTGAGGATTTAGAAGAGCACCTTATTTGTGGCTGCCCCTCAGCTGTGGAAATCTCTCCAATAAGTGGCTTTGTGAGTTTTTTCTTGTTTTGGCAATAGGAAAAAAGGTTGTTTTTTTAAAAAAAATAAAATAAATGACTGTCAGCTTCTAACTGGTTGGAACAAGAGGATCTTTTAATGGGAATATGCTGTAGTTTTAACTTCTAAAAGAATTCATGTTTTTTAAAAAAATCAACATTCAAATTAACATATTAAATGTGGTTGCTTTTTAAAATGGTTTCCAGTGTTTTTAAATTTTAGATATGTAGTTATAATTATACATTTAAATTTTAGATATGTAGTTATAATTATACATTGCTTTGAATCTTGGGCTCAAGAAAGATGGAATAGAAATTAAATGAATTATAAAAAGATGTGTGAATCTAGATGTATCACAACTTGGTTTTCTACAAATTTCATCTTAGATAAATTTATAGAAATTGGTAGATTTTGCATCAAGGTTATGTATTTGAGCAGCATCCAGTGGTCAAAAGTTTTTTTTAGCACTGCGGGATTCACAAGAAATTTTAGGCACCAGAGCAGTGGTTCTCAACCTGTGGGTCCCCATATGTTTTGGCCTTCAACTCCCAGAAATCCTAACAGCTGGTAAACAGGCTGGGATTTCTGGGAATTGTAGGCCAAAACACCTGGTGACCCAAAGGTTGAGAGCCACTGCACTAGAGAGAAAAGAAACCTGTCCATGATAATTTACTCTCATAGTCAAGAATTTCTCAGTGAGGCAACATGGGTCTAAGCACCACTTAGGATTAAAACCCTTCTCTAGTCGGTTTTTAAAGGACTCGTCACATAAACAATCTTTCTCCTTGCTGATGGAAGGAAAGGAAGTACGGACCTCTAGGGAAGGAATTCCGAAGTCTTTGTCATGACCAGAGGTTTGGTGATTTTAGTGTAGCCACTGTGGAATGCTTGGAAGGGGTTAATCTCCCTCCGGTTTGCAAAAGGTCAAGTTGACCTTCCCTTCCAAGTAATGGTTCACAGGCTGCGGAGATTATTTTGGAAGGACAGATATGGGATACAGCTGTAATTACCTGCATAAAAGAGCTCTGCAAGGGACTTCCCTTTGGGAGAAAAGTATCCATCGTATTGGGGTATGTATCCTGGCTTGTTTTCCCTCTGGGCTGGATCCTGATGCCCAAACTTGATCCAGAGAGCCTGTGGACCATACCACATGGAGGTCCATAAGCCAAGGGTGGTGGGGGAATCTGTGGGGCAGCAGGGAAACCGTAGGGCAGTGCCCCCTTACCATCCCACACCATTTCACACCTGTCCCTGGCTTCGTCCCGCGCTTAGTCTATGAAAATACGGGTAGTCACCCATGTTCTCAGGGCTGCTTCTTAGCATGCTGCTGAGACGCAGCATTCATGGAACTAAGACAGAGCCCAGCGGGAAGTAGCTCTACGTCATGTGATGGGTTCTGTCGATCTCTGTCCTGGCAGCGTCCTCGGACCAGGCCTTTTCCCCATGTGATGAGGTCCTCTGTTGTATCCTGAGGAACCCTGAAACCTGGCTGTGAACCTTGTATAAGAATTTCAGTTGAATCTTGTGGCTTGATTCCTGGACTGAAAACTGGTTTGTATGTTGATACTTCAGAAAGCAGTTTTGCCTTATTTACTTCATGTAATTTTGGAGCCTTGATAGTGCTCTTGAAGCCTGGGACTTGGCTTTACCATGTCAGCCATGTGCTATCTTTATGTTTTGTAGCTGGACATTGAAAAGGCACCATTGAAGTTCATTTCCAAAAAGCTATTTTTGGCACAACCTTGTTGTTGTTTTGGTTAAACTCTAGCCCTGGAACACAACAGTCTTGGAGCTGATGCCAAGAAGGCCCTCTGCCTTCTTCCCACGAAATGGGCCTTGACGGGGATGGGACAGAGAGAAGGACCCTGTAGAACTCTACAGGGCTGGATTCTACAAGCCATCAGCATGTGATACAAGCCAAACTTTTCCAAGTAACCTTATTTCCCCTTCAACAGAGTGGAAGCTAACACCATGCAGCATTCCCCTGGCATCATTAGGTGGAACCAATCTGACTAAAAATTTTATATTAATTATACAGAAGGCAGTGATATTATCCTTCATTAAGCTGTGGTTATAATATTAGTTATGATTTTTAATTAGAAAGCAAATTACAGGCTAGTTATTTATAATTGCTTCCAAACACTGGCTACTAGTGCAAAACCCCATTTAACTTGATTCCTAATACAAAAATGTTCCACTTACTGACAGCTAAGGCAATGAACTAGACAATATGAAGCAACATGGCTGGTGAAAAAGAAACTGGCATTTTCTATGTCTCACTTTCTTAAAGCTGGGATGCTCAAATCTATATATATAAAATCCGAAGTGGCGTCGTATGAGGAAGCAAAACTCAAAAACCCCCCAACAGAAATTAACCAAAATTCCCATGCACATACCTCAACCCACTAGGTACAAACAAACCCAATCAAAATCAAAAACAACACAACACCACACTCACAAAACGGCAAAACAACTGAGCATGCGCATTGGCACCCAGCCGCAAGTTCCCTGGCACGCGCACATGGCCTGGCGGCCAATGTTCCCTCCGCGCAAGCCACGCCCCCATCCTCACGCCGCGCCGCTTCCCGCCCTGTCAAAACCATCGCAACTCACCCTCCTTCATCTTACCCTGCTCACGCCGCCACACACACACACTCACGCCGGTAAGACACGCCCCCTCCCTCCCTCCCTTCCCCCCCACCCCTTCCCTCCCTGTCTCACTCTTTCCCTCCTCCCACCCTCCGCCAGTAAGACATGCCCCCTCCCTTCGCCGCGGCGGGCCCAAGCACACTCACGCCGGTAAGACACGCCCCCTTCCTTTCCCCCCACCCCTTCCCTCCCTGACTCACTCCTCCCCGTCGCAAACACACACACACACACACACACACACAACGCTCCTTCACTCCTCCCCCCGCCGCCCACACACACCTTCCGCCACACACACACACATTCACGCCAGTAAGACATGCCCCCTTCCTTCCGGCACACACACACACACCCTCACCCCCCACCACACACACACACAGGCTCCCTCACTACCTGTTGGGAAAGCAGCAGCAATGGCAGCAGCAACGGAGCATCCACGCAAGGAAGAAGGGGAGGGGGGGAGGGGGAGGAGGAAGGTCCACGGTGCTTGAATGAAGGACCTTCCTTCTCTCCCTCCCTTCCCTTCTTTCCTCCCTTTCTTTCCTTTTCTTCCTTCCTTCTCCTTCCTTTCCTTCTTTCCCTCCTTCCCTTCCTTCCTGTCCATCCTTCCTTTCCTTCTTTTCCTCCCTCCCTCCCTTTCCTCCTTCTTTCCCTTGCTTCATTTCCTTCCCTCCCTCCTTTCTTCCCCTCCTTCCTTCCTTCTCCTCCTTCCCTCCCTCCCCTTTTCCTTCCTTCCTGTCCCTCCTTCCTTCTTCCTTTCCTTCTTTTCCTCCCTCCTTTTCCTCCTTTCCCTTTCTTCATTTCCTTCCCCTTCATTTCCTTCCCTCCCTCCTTTCTTCACCCCCTCCTTTCTTTCCCTCCTTCCTCCCTCCCTTCCTGTCCCTCCTTTTTCCCTTCCTTCCCTTCTTTCCCTCCCTCGCTTTTTCCTTCCTTCCTGTCCCTCCTTCCTTCTTCATTTCCTTCTTTTCCTCCCTCCCTTTCCTCCTTCTTTCCCTTTCATTTCCTTCCACCCTTATTTCCTTCCCTCCCTCCTTTCTTCATCCCCCTCCTTCCTTCCACCTTCCTTCTCCTCCCTCCCTTCATGTCCCTCCTTTTTCCCCCTTCCTTCCCTTCTTTCCCCCCTCCTTTTTTCCTTCCTTCCTGTCCCTCCTTCCTTTCCTCCTTCTTTCCCATTCTTCATTTCCTTCCCCTTCATTTCCTTATTAAATGGAAGGGACAGTCAAGAAGTAATGAGAGGAGGGAAAAAGGGAAGGAAGAAAGGAGAGAAGCAGGGAGGAAAGAAACAGGTAGAGATGGAAGAAAGATGAGACATAGGGAAAGAAAAAGAAGAAAGGAAGGAAAGAGAGAAAGAAGGAGAGAAAGAGGGAGGGAAGGTTGGCCACAGCAACGCGTGGCAGGGCACAGCTAGTAGTAGTATAAATGCAAAACAGAACGGGGCACACCAATAGGAACAAAAAGTATAGGGGCAATACAAATTACCATGGTCTGATGGTCCAAAGGAAGCCCAGGGCCTGACTATTTTACATGCTTATCTTTTTTATAGTGTTCTTTTTTAAATGCTTGATATTTATTTAAAACTGGTAATTTTAAATTAAATGATAATGGTATACAAAATTAAAAAGATAATTATTGGCGGGGAATCACATTAGAGAAAGCAAAGGTTGGTAAGAAAGTTGGACTCCTTTGGAGTTTCTCCTGCAGCAACAAAATGAAGCAGGCTGGCCATAGGGAGCAGAGGAGGAAATGGCCTTTTCCATTTACAGGAGGAGAAATAAACAAAAAATAGTAACTACATCTAAGAAGGCAGTAGTTACTGCTCTGGAATGTTTTCTACAATGATCAAAACTAAGCTTTTTCGAGCAAACATTTGTCCTATGATGTTCAGCAGATGGTTATCAGTGGTTATCAGTATGTGTGGGTGGTAGGACCTGTTTTCCAGTTCATTATTCATGAGCCTTCCACATACTGTTGGGCAAATCCTAGATGCCTTAGGTAACCTAGCCAAGTTGAGGAATGCTGGGCAAAGCAGATCAGTTACATCTGGAGTGTCACCTCCTTCTACAGCAATCTACTAAAAATATGTTTAGGTAAAATAGCGTATTTTCTCTGTTTGCTTCAGGCTGTGTCATGATGATTCTACCAGCAAAACTGGAAACGTTGACAATAACTAGAATTTCAACAAACAAATCCACTACAAGTCATAGTACATAGATCACAAAGGTAAATGGTTTTTTTCCCCATCTTATATAATGCAATATTAAGTGTATAACCAACTTATATGATGCAGCATTGAGCAATATACAATATAAGAATACAATGAAACAGTGGATCTAAAAATATACACAGGTGGCTAGAACATGTATCAAAAGGGATAAATATTTCCATATGTTCCTAACATGTAAGGTGTACATAACAAGAGGCATAGGTACTTAACCCTTTAGATCCACTGTTTCATTGTATTCTTATCCACCTGAGGAAGAAGTATTATTTTGGAGAACTTGATGTCCACTTCATTGTACTCTTTACATTTCTCCACCTGAGGAAGACGTCAGTCGAAACCGGCCTGGAAATCCTCTACATGGATAACCTCTTACAAGGGACTGGAAACTTCACTCAAGAGTATCTTTCTCTAAAGTAAGGGATCTTATGCCCTTAAGAGAAGTCTGCTTTACAGCAAAAAAGACTCTACTTTTGTTACTGATGTAAAATCACGGTATAAACAACAATTTTTTGTTCATTGTATATTGCTCAATGCTGCATCATATAAGTTGGTTATACATTTAATATTGCATTATATAAGCTGGAAAAAAAACCCATTTACCTTTGTGATTTATGTACTATGACTTGTAGTGGATTTGTGTTTATTGTGATTGTGGGAATCCATAGTCTTTTGTAGTAACTAGAATCTGGCAGATTCTGAGGATTGTTGACCAAACCCCTAACTTTCCGGAGTTCCAGTTAGCTATGGAATAATATCATAGAGTGGAAAAGGCCACAAGGGCCACCCAGTTCAACCTCTTGCTATGCAGGAATATGCAATCAAAGCACTCCTGAGAGATGGCCATCCAGCCTCTGCTTTAAAATCTCAAGAAAAGGAGACTCCAACACACCACAAAGCAGCGCATTCCACTGCCAAACAACTCTTACTGCCAGGAAGTTCTTCATAATGTTTAGGTGAAATGTGTGTGTGTGTGTGTGTTGGGAAAGGGCAACAAAAATGGTAAAAGTCTGGAGACCATGAATCTCTATGAGGACAAGCTTAGGGAGCTAAGTATGTTTAGCTTGGAGAAGAAAAAAAAGTTAAGATTACAGTGTTTAGATATATGACAGGATGCCATATTGAGATGGGAGAAAGCAGTTTTTCTGCTGCCTCAGGAAACAGGACACAGAGCAATGGAAACAAACAACAGGAAAAGACATTCCAGATAATTATTAAGAACTTCCTAACAATAAGAGTTACTTAGCAGTTGAATAAGCTGCCTCTGAGTTTTGAGGAGTCTCCTTCTCTGGAGGTTTTTAAGCAGAGGTTGGATAGCCATCTGTAATTTGGACTCAGTCTAATGCTGACAATTTGTATCTTGGTTTCAAGTTGCACTAGCAGATTTGTTTTTCATCTCCTATCAAAGGAGATGAAAAAAATGGGCTTGTAATCCCAAAAGCCAGGCAAGTTTCTACAAGAGTGATGTTCCATTTTTTGAATCCTATTGCTTGGAGACTACCTGGTACTTCTATATTCCCAGGAATTTGGGGAACTGTTTTTAGTGCTTTTAAAACTACTATTAATAGATTTTACTTTTGAGTTGATTACATGCTGCTGCTGGTTTTAATTTGTTTCTTATTTGACTTGTTATATCTTATTGGTTTTATGTTAGTTTTGACTGGCTTGTGTAATCTTGTTTTTGTTTGACCGGCTTTATCTGGGTTTGATCTATTACGTTTTACTGCTATTTTTTATGTATGCATTCATGTTCATACCACCTAGATAATTTATTGGATAACCTGATAATAAAATAACATTAATAAAGGCATGTTGTACAATGTAAATAATAAACATGTTCAGAACTGAGGAAGCGAAATTCTAGGAATGGGAATCGACATGCATGTTTGGCAGATGCAACTACATTTGTATGACTTGGTGTCACGTGTAAAACTTATCCTGGATTAAAAATTGGATGGGCATCAAATAGATAAAATATACAGGGCTAACTCCATTTTGCTGGTGGTTGTGGCAGGAAAGATACTCCACTCTGTTCTGCCTAAAACCTGAAAATAGAGGGTTTCTTAGCCCTTCATATCCAGCTGGAGGGGCTGCAGCGGGGAGTGGGGGGGGGGGCCTAGAACCAAGGTCCAGTAGATATCAAAGGTCATCTATATAGTGTGATAACAGAAAACCCATTATATGAAACAATTAGTTCTCAAAGGTTTTCTGGAATCAAAAAGTGTCACCTAAAAACAAACAGACAGCAAGGAGTGAGCCTGTCTGTAGGAACTTCTCTGAAGGTGCAAATAACAATATAATATACATGAGAAGAGTAACATCATGGTGGGCAGGCATCTCAGGGTTACCATCCATAGGAAAGGGTACATCAAGCACACACATTTGCATGACCTCTCATACTCTGAGCTTTCCAAGTAGAGAAAAGGGACCTCCCTTGAACAAAACAAATCCCCAGTCAAGTGAAAGGACTGCAACACAGATCCGATGAGATATCATCAGGCTACAGTCCCTAGTGAGGTTTTGTTAAATGATTGTGGCAGGAAGACCGTGTCTCCTTGATAAGGCCTTCTCACTGAGAGTCCTCTTTCTCTCTCCACCTCCACCTCCACAGTCAAGCAACTCAGAAGAGCCTTTCTCCTTGTGATGTCTTTCCTTACCACTCTTCACACCACCAGCACTCACGTCCACAGGAGATACCTGCAACCCATTTCCTGTCCTGCAGCTTCTTCTTTCCAGACCTCCTTCTGAGCTTTCTGAGCCACACCCTTTGGAAAGGCTTAATTCAGGCCAGCAGGTGGTTCTCCTTTCCTTCTGAGGCCAGGGAGCGGGGAACAGCTAAGGCAGTGCTTCTCGTAAGTTCTTTTCTTCCACATTGGTTTATGGTGAAGAGAAAAAAATGATCACATCTGTTCAGTTTTGAGTATCTCTAGGTGAAAGTATGACATCTGGGACCCAGAGGGGAGAAATACGAGGAGTGGTGAAAAATGAATCAAATCCAGTCACTCTTATATTATTTCACTGTTATCCTGTCCCACCTGCGTTACATTACTTCACTGGCATCCTGCCACAGCTGAATCTCTCAATTGGTCTGCTGTCTCGCACACGTGTTCTCTTCTCTAATTCAGAGCCATGTTGCACAACCAGCATAACGCTACCAGCACTGGGTCCCAGCTATCATACGTTTACCCATCTCTATTCCTTGCTGTGGACAAAGGTCACCTATGATTTGGGGGGGGGGACGTTTCTAGAAGTCAACAGGTTAGAAAAGGGGTGGAAGCCAGAACATACTAAATCAATTGTGATTTGAGCCAAGGTCAGCCCCCTTTTCTCCTTTCAACAAGCAACAATAACCTGCAAGTGACACAGAATTTCAAATGACCTATGTTTATGCCACATGCCAGTGTTTCAGAAATTCTGTTCCTGCAATTGAGGTGTCCGTTTTACTAATAGAATCATAGAGTTGGAAGAGACCTCGTGGGTCATCCAGTCCAACCCCCTGCCAAGAAGCAGGAAAATTGCATTCAAAGCACCCCTGGCAGATGGTCATCCAGCCCCTGCTTAAAAGCCTTCAAAGAAGGAGCCTCCACCACACTTTGGTGGCAGAGTGTTCCACTGCTTAACAACTCTCACAATCAGAAAATTCTTCCTAATGTTCAGATAGAATCTCTTTTCCTGTAGTCTGAAGCCATTGTTCCACGTCTAGTCTCCAGAGCAGTAGAAAACATGCTTGCTCCCTCTTCCCTATGATTTCCCCTCACATATTTATACATGGCCATCATGTTTCCTCGCAACCTTCTCTTCTTCAGGCTAAACATGCTCAGCTCTTTAAGCCGCTCCTTATAGAGCTTGTTCTCCAGACCCTTGATCATTTTAGTCGCCATTCACTAGACACATTCCAGCTTGTCAACATCTCCCTTCAGTTGTGGTCACCATAATTGGACACAGTGTGATTCCAGGTGTGGTCTGACCAAGGTAGAATAGAGGGATAGCGTGACTTCCCTAGATTTAGACACTAGAGTCCTATTTATGCACGCCAGAATCCCATTGGCTTTTTTAACCACCACATTACATTGTTGGCTCATGCTTAACTTGCTGTCCATGAGAACTCCAAGATCTTTTTCAAATACCTCCAAAAGGAACAGGTCTTTAAAATATCAGGTTTTCATCCTGTAAAGTGTTTTTCAATGATTTTCGGTCACTTTCAGTTTCTCAAAGCTGTTTTGGGGGAACTATGGACTCCAATGTTCCCTGGGCCTCTTTTTCACAGATTTGCCTATTCCCATTTCCAACCATGGTGTAAGAAAAACAGGGGGAAAGAAATGTATCATCTGAAACACAGTCCAGTCTTTCCTGCTTTGAACCAGAATGTTCTTGCAGAAATAGTCAGGAATTAGGTTTGTTTGAGCACTGGTTGCATATGCGCAGAGCACACTCCCTGATAGCACACTGTGCTAGATGGAACTTGTTTTAATTCCCTTCCGGGACACACTAGGGCGGAGATGGAGCGCAAATTATAAAGGCAGCAGACAGGATCTGAATTGCCACCAGTGAAGAGTGAGACCGAGAGGCTACCTGGCTTTCTTCCCCACTAGGTGAGGTTATTTTTTCTTATGCCTTTTCCTTCAGAGAGAACTGAAGTTACTGCTGTAGAGGAGAGTACCTTAACTGGCCACGTTGTCCTGGGATTCTGAGCTGTTTGCTTTATGGATGATTTATGGGACTTGCACTCTGGACACAGTGCTTTGATGTAGATAACATACTCAGTTTTTCAGGGGAAAGAGAAATGCCATTTCAGTAACAATCTTCACCAGAGGCAAGTCCATCACAAAAGAAATATTAAGAAATATTAATTTGTGTGTGAAAGGAAAACGGTGAATTTGCATTGGCTTTATGTGCTCGATTTCCTCGGCAGTGATTTATCTATTACATTAAATTCCATCAAGGAATTCAAGGGATGTTTGTGGTTTTCTAGTGAGGACTAGAACATGAATTCCCCCCCAAATCTCAGACTAGGACTCCAAAGAGGAGTAGGAATTATGTGATCCTTAAGACCATTGCCTCTTAAACTGTGGGCCCTGACACCTAATGGGGTCCCCATAGCTTAATATTGGGGTCCTGAAAAATTTGACAACAGTAAAAGATTTCTGAATGTCACCTAGTGGTTATTTTAGACATTTACACAAATCTGTTGTGCAGTGTTTATAGTGGACTCTGCAGAAGAGGCTTCAGTTTACTTGATGAAAAGAAAAATCCGCTTGTTCAGCAAGCCTTGCAAATGATGATTTGTTATGCTCCCATTTTTATCAGTTTTATACTAATTTGTGCAATGCTTTTGATACAAAATAAAATAATAGTAAATAATTTATTTTTATACCTGTTTTATATACCTGTATTTTAATGTGGGGTCACATAAAATTTTCTCAGGCCAAAATGGGTTCCTGTGTGGAAAAGTTTAAGAAACCCTGATCTGTATCATATCCTCCAACAATTGTGATTTGACAGGGACAGTCCCAATTAACACCGTGTTGTACTTTTCCAGCACTTTTGAAATGCCCCAGTTTCTTTCTCCCTTCCCCACTTTCATCTTTCATTCTCATTTTACCTCAATTGTGGAAAAGTAGTTTTGCGCTGGGTTATCTGAGGATGCCTGCCATAGATGCAAGTGAAATATCAGGAGATAATGCTTCAAGAACATGGCTATACAGCCCCAAAAACTTACAACAACCCAGTGATTCCAGCCATGAAAGCCTTTGACAATACATAGTTTTACACTCATTTGCTCAGCAAATCAGTGAGAAAAAGAAGAGCGAGTCATGCCTACTTCCCAGTTGGCTCAGGCAAAAGCAATCTGTTTGAGTCTTTCTTAGCTATTCACAAATTTTGCCCTTTTTACCAGACTCTGATGCTGTTTAGCCACATGTGTCCTGGTTTTCACCTGTGCAATGTTGGAGAGTATATTACGTTGAGCAGCAACTCCTAGTGTGCCTCCCAATTGGCCCTGTAGGCAGGTGGTGTTAAGAATTGCAGTACAATAATATCTGGAGGATCACACTCTGCTCACCTGTGCTCTAAACACAGATCATGCTGATTTTGTTGATGACTTTCTTCATGATTCAGCCTCAAGTGAGTGACTAGAAGCCTGAACTTCATGCAGATTTATGTATAATTTGTTTGCACAGGGTTATGCATTTTGCCTGTATTTGTTACCCTACTGAGAGGAGGTGAGGCCTAATGGTGAACAGGCAAAACCAGATTCTTTTGCAACCATTTGGAAACTGGCTAATCTGAGGATCTCCTGTTACAAAAACAGGTCTCGAGAAGGCAGCTTGTTCCAAATGCACTAGGTCAGCCTCAGGACAACAACATTCTGACTTTCTGTCCTTCAAACAGCAAAATAATATATCATATGCTTTTAACATGTTCTGCTTTTAGATAAAACCAACATTGACTTAGGAATTGAATACAGAAAGACTAACATATCTGACATTTCTTTGCCAGAGCTGCATTATACTTGAAGGATGTCTTCCATCTTGAAAGGTGAGTTGCTTTTCCTTGACATTTTCTCCCCAGAAATTAAGCTAGATTTACATATTTTAGAAAATAAGGGACAGGAATGGATGCATTATTCAATTACATTCTGGAGGATAATAGCAGAGGATTCTCCATAATTTAGTTGGATTGTAATATACCACCATCTTCTTGGAAAGCCTACTTTCATATCTGCCCTATGGGTCAAGACACTATTTGCTCTATGGCAACTGATATCCGCAATTTACCTGAATTGATGCTGGGGTATCCAAATTCATTTTACTGGTAAAACCAGGGAAAGATCTGTGTGTGTTTGTATAATAATATTCAGTCATAACTGCTTAAAGCTAAGCCCAGCTTTACCTTAGCTTTTCACTTGGATTGACTGCTCGACTATCTTTCCTGAGGACCAAGGGTTGATAATCATTATTCCTCTACATAAAAAAGAGAACAGGCAGACCTAGCTAAGCATAGACCAATCAGCTTGCTTGTTAACTATATGCTTGTTATTTGCATTCAAAATTACTGGATTGGCTAGAACAGGAAAGCATACTGTATAATGATCGAGCTGCTTTTAGATATGGATGTTCAACTGTAGATGAGAGTCTTATCCTTCAGCACGTAGCTGTAAAATATGCATCCCCATTTGAGGGTGCTTTCTACATGTATTGTCGAAGGCTTTCATGGCTGGAATCACTGGGTTGTTGTAGGTTTTCCGGGCTATATGGCCATGTTCTGTCTCTATGGCAAGCATCCTCAGAGGTAGTGAGGTCTGTTGGAAATAGGAAAATGGGTTTATATATCTGGTCTTTCCACAGATATATAAACCCATTTTCCTATTTCCAACAGACCTCACTACCTCTGAGGATGCTTGCCATAGATGCAGGCAAAATGTCAGGAGAAAATGCCTCTAGAACATGGCCATATAGCCCGGAAAACCTACAACAACCCTCTTTCTACATGTTCCACTGTTTTTATGGAAATACTAGAAAATGTGAGGATACCACAACTGAAGAAAGGTTCCTAATGCATTATCATGACCTGTTTGAAAGTCCTCACCTTCCAATAAGATGCAATCATGCAGGGCACTTTCCCCACTCCATCCTTATTTTTTATAAAAAGACTTAAATTTTTTGGATTCCAGTTCATAGAAATTGCCCTAGACCAGTGGTTCCCAACCTGTGGTCCATGGACCATCAATGGTCCACAAACATTAGTACACCGTTACCTTGAAACCATGTGGCAACATGAGCGAGTGGTCTCACAAAACCCTCTTATAGTGCTGAGACAACAGGGGTGTCGGGAGGGGAGAGGCTATCTATAAAAGATTACTACTATCACATTAGCTCTAGATTATTAAATATGGTTTTCTATGGGCGAGCAGAAAACCAGATGGCATATGTTCTGTATCAGAAACTAGAGCCGATGTGGTCTATCCAATGCAATTTTCTGAATCACCACCCCAAATAACCAAACCAAATCTAAAGTTGACCAAAAACTGATTCGTAATCCTTTTGGTACTAATTTTGGAGTGTGGTCCCTGGTTGAATAGTCCCTGGTCAAAAAAACGGTTGGGAACCACTGCCCCCTAGAGAGTGCCCAAAGGAATATGCCATTTTTGCTTAGGTTGTTTAATGCCATTAAAGGGCAACATATTCCTTCCATTACCCAAGTATTTATAGACAGGATTACATCCCAGTTCTTGAACAGTTCACAATTCTATGCTTTCAATGGTTTGGACTTATTTGAAGTGTTTCAGAAATATGCATGCTGTCCACTGGGTTCCCAATGCAGATTGCATCTTGAGGCAGGCTGGATCTCCATCAAGGCTGTGCTTGGATTCTTTAAATCAATTATTGGCTAAAACTCACCCCCACGCTGCAATGGGGCTGACTCTTCTATTGTAAACTGTTAGTTTTGAGTCCGTATGGAAATAGTTGCTAAATAAGAAACTTCTAACATGTGAATTTACATCTAATGCTTTAATAGTGCCTGGCTATGGTAATGCTGGAGCCCCCAGTGGTGTAGTGGTTAAACCACTGAGCTGTTGAACTTGCTGACCAAAGGTCACCAGTTCAAATCTGGGGAAGCGGGATGAGCTCCTGCTGTTAATCCTAGCTTCTGCCAGGTTTCAAATGTGAGTAAAGCAATAGGTACCGCTCAAGTGGGAAGATAACGGCGCTCCATGTAGTCATGGAGCACCAACCCCCAGAGACAGACATGACTGGACTCACCGTCAGGGGAAACCTTTACCTTTACTATGGTAATGCTAAATCTGCCCCCAAAAATCAGTAAGGAACATATGGTTGCAAAATCATTACAGCATCGGTCTTCATGTATGACTTAATTGATTTTAATTCGTTCCTATCATGTTTAGTGTTTGGGAGAGACGATAAGGAGAAGGAGAAGGAGAAGGAAAAGGAAAAGGAAAAAGACAAGAAAGATGGAGACAAAAAAGACAAGAAAAAGAAGAAGGAGAAAAAGGTACAGAAAAGAGGTGCCCGTTATATGATATTGTTCAAAGAGCAGATACTGAATGACAAACAATATGTATTTAAAATCTGCAATCTGAGATAAGCGAGCTTTTTGTACTGTATTTTCATAGCAAAATCATATGTGAGAATTGTACAGAAGTTATTGGACTGCAACTCTGGGCATCCCTCAAGATTGGCTATGCTGGCTCGGGCTGATGTTCAACAACATCTGACTGTCATTCCTGGAATAGATGGGCATGAATGAAGGGCAAATTCTTAGTCAAGAAACACCAGCACATTTTCAAGTCATAAGACAGGCATTATTATTTATTCCATTCTCTAATTATGTCCTATACAGGTGTTTTGGTTTATATGGCCATCAGTTGGGAATGCTTTGATTCTATATTCCTGCATGGAAGGGGCTTGGACTGGATGCCCTTTGTGTTTTTTTTTCTTCAGTTCTATGATTATTGCTGTTTTGAAAACCAGGCAACCCAATTAGCTATGTCACTTTGCCTGTATTAATTATGTAACTGTGTGAACAAACACAATTACTAACATTTCCATGTTCTCATCAGCCCTGAAAAGAACATGCAAATAAAAATAACCACATGAGTTTATTACACAAATATGTGGCATAGATTGCATCCAACTTTGTGGGAGTAGTTTTCCATTTACACAGCAACATCTCCTCCTTCTATTGAGAGTTTTCCCCAAAGCAGTTTTTAGGAGTGAGTAAAGGTGAGGCTGAAGGAAGGAGGAAAAATTTACGCCAGTGGCAAATACCAGTTCATTAGTGAATTGATATTGCTGGGTTTTTCCCAGCTAGAACTTCTTATTTGTATTCCTGTTTCCTTAAGGAAGGATGGAACTTAAATGAATATGAAGTGTGCTTGAGGTATTAGGGGAAGGAAGGAAGACACAGAAGAGGAGTGTTAGGACAGTGGTTCTCAACCTGGGGGTCGGGACACCTGGGGGGGGGGTCGTGAGGGGGTGTCAGAGGAGTTGCCAAAGACCATCAGAAAACATGGTATTTTCTCTTGGTCATGGGGGTTCTGTGTGGGAAGTTTGGTCCAGTTCTATCATTGGTGGGGTTCAGAATGCTCTTTGTAGGTGAACTATAAATCCCAACAACTACAACTCCCAAATGTCAAAGTCTATTTTCCCCAAACTTGAGCAGTGTTCATATTTGGCCATATTGAGTATTTGTGCCAAGTTTGGTCCAGATCCATCATTGTTTGAGTCCACAGTGCTCTCTGGATGTAGGTGAATTACAACTCCCAAACTCTAGGTCAGTGCCCACTAAATCCTTCCAGTATTTTCTGTTAGTCATGGGAGTTCTGTGTGCCAAGATTGGTTCACTTCCATCATTGGTGGAGTTCAGAATGCTCTTTGATTATAGGTTAACTATAAATCCCAGCAACTACAACTGTTAAATAACAAAATAAATCCCTCCCATCCCACCAGTATGAAAATTTGGTTGTATTGGGCATTTGTGCCAATTTTGGTTCAGTGAATAAAAATACATCCTGCACATCAGATATTTACATTATGAGTCATAACAGTAGCAAAATTACCGTTATAAAGTAACAACAAAAATAATGTTATGGTTGGGGTTCTCCTAACCACTGTGTTAGGAGAAGGAAAACACAAAAGAGAGGTATTAGGGGAAAGAAAACTTAGAAGAAAAGGGATTTATAAATGTACTTAAATTCAGAACTGCTACAAGCAAGTACATTATGACCTATTGGCATAAAGGAAATATCCCACAGTTGATTTATATATTTAGTTTAAAAATGAGCTTCCAAATGAGTACAGACTTTTGGGGACGCAAGAGAGAAAACACAACAATGTGAAAAAAGAGGGGGTAATTTTTCTGCATTCAGAAGTTGAATAGGAAAAAAAGTACAAATTTATGTCATTATGACACACCACAATTACTCTTATGGCATGACTCAACATTTGTGCTATGATTAAGACCTTCCGTAAACAATTGAGTTTGTTGGCTGCTTCCTCCTTGTTCCATGTGTGACTCAGTCTTGGCCCAGCTTGGATAACTGAAGCAAATAATAATGGGAAAAAAGTCAAATCAAGATTAGGCATGTAATGGGAGGTAGGAAGACTCCCATGGGAAAAGTAGGAAAGAGAATAGCATGGGTGTGTAATGTTTCTTGAGGGGCACATTATGAATAAGCCTCCAAGCTGAAAGGAGAGTGCAATAGGATAGTTGCCCTTCAGAATTTGCCTTTCTGTTTCCTCATCACAGACTATTACTAGCATAGAGTGTGTCAGGTTGAATTGAAATATAGAAAAAAATGTTACTGTCCTGGTCGTAAGAATAATTATTTTTAAAAAACATTCAAAGTCTATGGACTTTGAGGGGGTGGGAAAAGTGTGCTAGTTCAGTTCCAGCTGGCTCATTTCAGTTCATTTATCCTTCTGTAAGTTGTTATTCTCCTGCAAGGCCATTTATGTAAGCAGTGACAAATACTGGGTATTTAGAATCTCAAGTGTCTTTTTCTTCAGTTCTGCACCAATTTAGAGAACAAGCCATCAAATCTGCCATGTGTCTTCGGTAATCTGTCACTTTTTCTTCTTCCATGTTCTCAACTGGATGGATAAAGAGCTCAAAGCATGATGCAGTTGCGTTAGTCATAGTCAACGTGTTTGGCAACTGCGTTTTCCAGAACATAATGTGTTCAAAGGGAGTTCACACAAGAAACAAATATGAGAGCCATAGTTATAATACATGACAGAAGCTAATACTGTACAAGGATTGCCTTCTCTTCAGAACATGGATTCTCAGCAGTTTACAAATTAAGTAAAATATAAATAAAAACATTTAAATACTACTATTAAAGTGTAGTTGCCAGATAAAAGGAATGCTACTAGTCAGTGCAGTGTAGTAGTTTGAGTGTTTACTATGATTCTAGAGATCAGGATTCAAATCCCTGCTTGTCAAGTATGCCCATTGGGTAAGTTGCATTCTGTCAGCCTTAAAGGAAGACAAAGACCACCCCTTTCTGAACAAATCTTACCAAGACAACCCCATGATATGTTTGCTTAGGACCTGCCTTAATCAGAAAGTTACACAATAACAAACAGGGATGTTAGTAAGTTGTTGTTCTGAGAAGAAATCATTCAGGTAGTGATGCCAGATTCCCTGGCTAGATAGAGCTGTGTGTCCTATTATCTTCTGCATGCACAGCATGGATTCTGCTACTTACTACCATGAAAACACAGTTTGATTTCAGAAACGGTACATGACTGAATTGGATTTAGATACCCTGCCTTCTGTGACACTACAAATGGACTAATATTTTGATTTTTTCCCTTCCCAGCATGATGGACAAGATGATAGCAGCAGCAGCTCCGACAGTGATTCTGAAAAGGTAATCTAGTGGGTGATTGGCAGAATGGGAATTTGTTCTCCTTCTAGTTTTAATTCTCACATTGGGATGTGCTGTCAATTCAAACGTTTAACAATTTACAGTTATAGAGAAACATGGGATGATTTACATGGATTTCTTTAATGCCTGCGAGGACTGTAATCTGTCTCTTCCAACACTCTCCCCTCTCCCAGTCCCCACAAGCAAACTGTCTCCAATAATGGAGGTAATATAGCTGTCATCACTCACAACTATTGGTAGACTTATCCCACCTCACCCCCACCCCAGTTTTTCAAGTTATCTGCCCTGATTTAGTTCACCCCCTTGGTGAACTAGAGTACTTTGCCAGGGATGAGCGGTGTCTGACAATGTCTCTACATTTTCTAGCTTGCCCACTTCCAAAATGAAGTCATAATGACTTACAGAAATATTCTGACAAGATGACAATTAGAATTTCCTCAATTTTTTTTTAGTTTTCACTTGCCACCTACAGTAAGATTTCAAAGAGCAGAGAACAAGTAACACTGATGGCTGGCAGTTGGTTTTGAAGTTCCAGTTCTCTAGGTGTTTCATATCCGTTAACTTTATGTGGTCATGATTGTGGCACTATTACCGCAAGTTTAAATGTCCTCCCAAACCTACCTTAATAGCAAGCAGCTAGATGTCTGTTCAACTGTAATTGGGGTGCAGCAGGATGACAGTTCCACTCTCTCCCACTAGTGAGTCAGGATGAAAAGCAGGACCCCTGTTACAATTATCTGTTGCAGCCTCACTTACTGGTGGTAGAAGGGTGGAAATGTCATCCTCCTTACACCCTGATCAGAAGCCAAATAAACTTAATTTGCTCAATCCATCTTGTAGTGATTTCAATTAGGACTGTGGTTAAGAAGATCTGTGCCTCGTGAATATAAGCTAAACCAGATAGGCCATGACAGACCAAGTTGAAGACAAGCCACAGAACTTTATTACAATTTGGCCAAAAGGGATGCAAGTACACACAAATTGCTTCAAAATGTATGAGCATAAACAGACAGAGAAATGTGAGACATCTTACAGAGTTCTGACAGCCATTCAAATCTCGCACTTCCTCCTTTGATTGGCTTGAAAGAAGGCTGGTCAGGATCTGCACAGGGAATGGCTGAAAGCTTTGCTGATGTCACTGCCTCCAGGTATTTAAAGAAGGCTAAACCTCATCATTCTCAATCAGCGTGGCCAATGAGGTGACATAGCTAAGAAAGAAACTGACAAATCATAGAGCCAAAAAAAAAAAGAAAAGAAAGAAAGAAAAAAGAAAAAAAAAGAAGTCTGCAAAGAAAATAAGCTTTTACTTTCATTTGTGGTTTACCTTGAGATGAAAAAAACATGTTGTTCTCTTCTAAGTCCCATTTTATTTTTCTCTTGTCATGCAGGGTCATAGTGGTGTAAAAAAGGAAAAGAAAAAGAAGGAAAAGAAAGAAAAGAATTAACTTTCAAGGCAACTTAAAACTAGCAGAGGGAAATACATTGGCCAAACTGGCTAAGATCTTCAGGGCATTTGGAGAGAAGAACCAACTACCTGAATTTAGTTTATCCAAAACTATGTGTATTAAATTTGTTTATATTAAAACTTGGTCTGTTTCTTCTCACCCCTGCCAAATCCTCGACTGTCAGCTTTCAATTATCTTTATGTTCAGAACATCTTTCACTTCTTGTGTCATCCATCAGATTCTCCTTGCTTTCATCTACACTCATTTTGCTCCTCATAATATCAAAGAGTGGATGAGAAGCCAATTCATAGGAAAAGGTTTGCTGTGGTCTGCTGAGAAATGGCTACTTGTTTGTGAAATTTTCTGCCATAATGAAAATGTCAGTCCATAAGGTACTGCAAGGCTCTGTTGGCTTTCCTGTGACAGACTAAGCTACCTACCTCTCTGAATGCAGTCTGGATTCTGAGATACCCCATCTTTTCACAACAGATTGGACTAAAACAGAGATGGCATAATCATTATGAAGTGCTTTAACTGACTTCAAGGATTTTCGCATACTTGGAACCAGTAAGTGCCTTAGATGGTGCCAACTTTTAGGGTGCCAATTCAATATAATAAATTCTTAGAATATCTTTTTGAATTTCCTCTATACGTACATTTTTTTTAAAAAAGAATTCAATGCAGCTTTGTAGTGAAATCTTTCCAGTGGGATGAGGTGGGATTGTGAAGAAACCTGGAAGTCATTTGTCTGCATGAGTCTATACAATATTAAGTCTATGGGTCTTTTAGGAAAGCAGCAGAAGTAGGAAGCCATATTTAGTAAAAATACTGGTAAACAGCCCTCTGGCTGAGGACAAAATGGTGAGGTCGTGGAAGAGCCAATTGGGGCTGGTGCCCGTCTTCCTTCTCTTCCCTCTTGGAGGTAAAACAGTTGTGCAAGAAAAAAGGGCAATTGCAAGGTGCACTCACCAATGTAAGGCACAACCCATTTTGAAGCCCCTTAAATAGGAAAAAGTGTGCCTTACCATTAACGAAATATGGCATTTTTCATATAATGTGTGTGCGTGCACTCATTTACGTGACCTCCCTGGGCTTTTACATATATCATAATATATTACCAATATTACTTTGAAAACCCACTGATCATTTCCATACCTTAACATGGTTCAGCCCTTCAGCTACCTTGTTTCCAGACACCTTGTGTGCTGCATTTTCCCTGTTTCTGCTCTTAATCTGTGGGGCATTGGGGGCTGCAATACGTAAGTTAACTTTTAAAAATTCCTATTGGATCCTCCCAAGTAGAATTTCCTACTGAGATACTATGTAGGTAAATACCACTGATTATGTCTACTTTAGTTATGATGACTAACCATAAGATTTAGAGTAGCACTCTATCTTTTGTCCAGTGACAGCTACTTCGAGAAGTTCAGTGTTGCAAAACACACAATAAGATTCTTTAAATGGTGGTGAATGTTCTTTCTCTCTTGTTGTGTGTGTGATGTGATGGACAATGGAAAAGTGTGCACTCAGCAGGCCAATTCTCTCACATCAGAAGCAACTTGCAGTTTCTCAGGTCGCTCCTGACACGGAAAAAAACAAAACAAAAACAGGCCTAAGATGTTGCTGGTGATGAGGCTGTTAATAATTGAGGAGTGGGAGCTGGGAATTACAGCCATGTAATCATTTCTTTGCGTGGATGTCTGATTTTGCAGTAAACTCAAAAGCATCAGATTCTGTCTCAACTTGGAAGCTATGGAGAGTTAGATATTGAAAGTCCTTAGATCAGAAACCACCAATAAATAGCTGGTGTTATAGGCTGTTTCAGAGGAAGGAACTGGCAAAAATATCTTTGGGCACTGTATTACTTACCTACAAAAAACCTGGAAAATTCCTGAATTTACCATAAGTCAACATATATCTTGAAGGCACATTCATACACAATAATGACGGCTTGCTGCAGACAACAAAATGTCCACTCTTGTTGCTGTTCCCAAGCAGCTTCTGATCCAAGGGACACTTCTTTTTGTAACTTTATACAGCCACAGGCTCTGAGAACCCTTCACCTCTGAGTCACTAGACAGGTGGCTGCTCCAGGAAGCCTATTGGTAACTCTCTCTGGCTGCTTACTGCTGGTAGTGCGAGCTCTTCTAATTTCACCAATGCTGTTGCTTGACAAGTTTAGGTCGGCAATATAATTGTATGGAAGGTTCTGCCTGTTCTTATGTTCTGCAAATGTATCTGAACTCGTTTGAGAGCCATCAAGTCTGATTTTGACATCAGTGAAGTGGTGAATCAGCTCTGGATTTTAGTCTATACCAGGTCTGTACAATTTGCAAATAATAAAGTGCTAATTTTTTTTTAAATCTGTGGGTCACTCGCCTCCTCTGCCTGTCTGACCAGGAAGGCAGGAAGGGAAAGGGGTGTGTATGTTATGTAGGAGCAGCTATTTTACATTAAGGAGCTATTCTAGTGAAAGGGTTCAGCACCTTGGATAGCTCCCTTAAAACTGAGACCACAATCCAGAACAGGTTCACTGCCACATTCACATCAGAGCTACTGGCCTCTACGTAGTACTAAAGGAAGGAAAATAACGCTTATACACTAAACCTAACTCAAAGTTACCAGGTGAAAAAGAGATCCGGACTCCTGTGCCTTTAATTATTAGAGTTTAATAATTGTACAACAGGGGAGACTATCAGTGAGTAGAGATTTAGTATTTATTTATTTATTTATTTATTTTATTTCTTGCATTTCTATCCCATCCTTCTCAACCCCCGAAGGGGGGCTCAGTACCTGCTGAACCTTTTTCTTCTATTATTATGTGCATTCGCATTCACTCTGACCTACGGAGACTCTTCCACATGATTTTCTTGGCAGAATTTGGCAAGAGGCAATTCATCATTGCCTTTGTCTAAAGTTGAGAGGATGTAACTTGCCCAAGGTCACCCATTGGGGCTAAATGGCTGAAGTGGAATCTGGGCCCTGGTCTCCCAGAGCCATAGTCATATATTATGTGGCAACCATAACATATGAACAGACATAAAAGACTAAGGAAGTACTAGGCATTGGAACTGAACTATGCTTCTGTGTGCATGTGCCTGCAAGTTGCCTGTTGACTTATGGTGACCCAAAGAATTTCATGGGGTGGGGTTAGGCAAGGAATATTAGAGGTGGTTCTTATCAGTTCCTTCTTCTGAAATGAAGTCTATAGTACATACTAATCAAGGCTCACTCTACTTAGCTTCCCAAGATCAGACAGGATCTGGTGCCATTAGGGTATTTATTTGTGGCTTCAGGCATGCTGATTTTTGAGAAATTTTGAATAATCTTCACTGTGATCTTTCACAGAGTTTTCCCTCTTGTGTCTTCCTATGGAGTACAATAACTAGCCAGTGTACTGTAAACATTATCATGAATGTTCTAAGATGTGTGAACGTGGAAATTTCTCCTGGCCATGCCTAGCAAAATATTGTAATAATTAAATTAAAGCAGTTTTGGTGAGATTAACTCTGGAAACTGTCCTCCTTTTGCAAATAAACCCTAAGGAACTGAACTTGCATATAAAACTGAGGCAGTAGTACCATCTACTGGTAGCACAAATGTGACACAAGTTATCTAAGTGTTCTTACCTCATTGCTGTGCTTTTATAAATTTCCACACATGTTTACACAGTGAATGAAGCAGCAGGCTAAGCGTCTGATACTGATTAAGTAATGTGTGCTTTCTCTTTCTGTTGTAATTGCATTCTTATCTAAGAAAAAATACTTAGCTAGAAGTTTCTCATTCATCTCTGTCAAGGGTGCATATTATGCTTTTCTTTGCTTCTTAGCACGGCAAAGAATTGCAATCTGTGGGTGGCAGCAAATGCATGGCACCTTTGCTTACCTCTCAGAGAAGTTAGTTGTTGTCATGCATTCCTATGTGGGAATATAACATACTGCACTTGTGGTGGTGTGGAAAGTTGCCCACCAATCCTGACAGAGACTTCATAGTGAAAAAATGTGCTTTTTCCTGTTACGTTTCCTATATTTCTGTCTCTGAACCCAAGTGTGTTTGGTGGTCAAGGGAAGGAGGCAAATATGGAGTCCTAGTCAGAAGCTTTACTGTTCCTCCCTCCTCAGTGTATACAGTGTATGAATGAGGGAGCTTAATTATAGAATCATACAATTATAGAGCTAAAAGACACTATAAGGGCTATCCAGTCCAACGCCTTGCCATAAAAATTCTGTAGTCCTTGCCTTAAAAAACCCTAGGAAATTCATGGAGTCACCATAAGTCAAGAAACTTGAAGGAACACAAACACAAGGTGCCTCAAGCCCTGGGCTAGGCAACAGAAGGGATAGGGAGAAAGAAAATAAAGAAGTTATGTGATATATTTCGTTCATTCAGATTGTGGATTTCAATTAGGAGTGCCTGCTTTCACTTTTCTGTTGATGCATGGAGTTTATTCTTTCCTTTAGTAATTCCAGAGGAGTATAATAAGAGCAATAAATACTCAACCCACACAAGATTGTTGGGTGAATGGCTAAGGGCATACCAGGCTATTTAGAAATGTAATGTGAGCATTGTTTTTTTCCCTAGCTGTCAGCAGTCTACTTCATCTCACTCAAGCCACATAGTTTGTCTTGGTTTAGCCGCTGTCTGCATCAGCCTTGTGGTTGGATGAAGGGCCAGTGTTGGATGGGGTACACTGTAAATTGATAGAATCAGTACAGCTTTTTTGGAACAGCCAATATGTGGATATGTATGTTTGCATGTTGTCAGGTACAGATTCCTACCAAACTTGTAGCTAGCTATGATGGAAGGAGGAGTTGCAGTGGCACAGCAGGTTAAACCACTAAGCTGCAGAATGTGCTGATCAGAAGGTCAGGGGTTTGAAGCCGTGGGACGGGGTGAGGTCCCACTGTTAGCCCCAGCTTCTGCCAACCTAGCATTTTGAAAACATGCAAATGTGAGTAAATCAATAGCTCCCGCTCTAGCGGGAAGGTAACAACCCTCTATGCAGTCATACTGGCCACGTGACCTTGGAGGCATCTATGGACAATGCTGGCTCTTCGGCTTACAAATGGAGATGAGTACCATCTCCCAGAGTTGGACTCAACTAGACTTAATTTCAAGGGAAAATCTTTACTTTTACCTATGATGGAACGATGAGGTAATGGCTCCCTAA